GATTCTGTAAAAATCCAGACCCGAATTCGAATTCACACATGTGTCTGAATTCACTTCAAAAAGCGGCATCTGCTCAACCTTGAAGTGGTAATAACGTTTTATGGGATTAGTGAAGTGAGTTTCGAAATGACATAGGAATAGAATATCCGAGACACGTATATCCAATCAATTATGTTTTGAAAATGTTATAATTTAACCAAATATTTTTAACCAATGATAATTTAAATAGAGTAATAGCTAATAATAATAGTTTTCTAACTATTAACAGTTCTTAATTCGTTCAAATTCCTGTTTATTTTGTAAAAACGTCTGCTTTAATTATGATATAATCTCAGGTAACTTCTCTTGACTCGAGATATAAACAAAAGAGGCAGTGGTGTGACATCTGCTTTCCGCGTCCGTGACCGGTTTTGTCTGCGGACCGTGGCCGCACACGGAGAGCATTGTTCGTAACTTTCTTTTCTCAAATTAACTCTCCCGGGTATATTACGCGTGAACTATGTGAAGGTTCAAACAATACTTGATTTAGATACCGTTCATTGACATTAAAATTAATTATTAATAGTTTGCAATATCTATAGTTTGACCTCAAATATACATTTTATAGATTCAGATAAGCATATTCCGCATAATGGGTCTCATCTTCTAAAATAACAATATAATTTACATCTTTTGATATGAAAATTACTTAATTTATAACAAAGACTATTAATTGCTATTAAAGCTACTTTCTTATAAAATCCTATGTCAATTTTATCGACGTTTTATTCGATTTTACTAGTCCAAGCTTGTTAGGTAGATGGCCATTGTTCTTTACAAACATTTCGTATGTTAGACTAATTGTGTTCCTATTTACGCTGAACTAGATCACATAGCACTTTCAACGACTGAAAAATTCTATTTTACGCACACGAACTAAGACATTCCATTATAGTATTTCCACATACGAATCAATCTTACTCTAATCTATACACTATATTTATATTCTTCCTGCTGTATGTACGCCGAGATCTTTTTTAGTACACAACGAATTTTAATGCGTGCGTAAATAATATACAACGGACGGTCAGTTGAGGTTAATAACGTCGTTAAGCTCTAATGAATGTCAAATTTGTATGGGTAACGTCGGTTTAAATTAATGAAAAATTTAATGTACGTTTGTGCAACTGGCTGAGTGTGATTCAAGAGGGAGATTTCTATGTATTATACAGGAGCAAGATGGCGAAGCCGCTGGCGGAAAAGCTTATTTATATTATACCAATATTATAATGAGGAATTATTTGACTTGATTGTTTGTTAGCATCGCCTAGACACCTACTGAACCGATTGCCGATTGTAAAAATTTACCTAAGAGTAGCTACATCATAGTGACATTATGAAATGAAATTGTTTTAAGTTAAACATCATTATTATTATTCTATTTGCTTACTACCGGCACAGTGACCTACATATCTGTGCTAATCACGCGTGACAAAACAATTGGTCGCGTGCGCAACTCTCATAACGCTATCATAATTAAAAGCAGTATTTACAGTAAACGTCGTACTCGACGCTGTTTATTTGTGTGAAACATTTTTAAGAACCAGTTAAAAAATTAAAATATGTTTTCGATTATTTTATTGGAATAAAATATAAGCTACTGGGGGCCAATTCTACTAAATAAATTTTGTTTAATAACTGTAGTTTCGTTCGGTTTCGAAAAGGGATCGAAACCGAACGAAACTACAGTTTTTAATGGTTTTCCTATTCTACAAAGTGACATAAGATATAATTCCAGCTAAAATAGAACTGGAATTGTATCGTATATCACTTTGTAGAATAGGAAAACCATTAAAAACTGTAGTTTCGATCCGTTTTCGATTTGATTTAAACAATATTTATTTAGTAGAATTGGCCCCCTGGTCATTTAATGATAATAGTGTATTGACCGAGGATAACAGTGCAGCAGAGTGCATTGCGGGTAGGGTTGTCAATATTTTTGGTTTTTTAGTAGCCCAGGTTAGGTTATATCCGGCAAAATATTTGGAGTGTAACGTGGTACACAAAGAATTTTCAGAACGGGCGCAAGGCAATCTTCTCTACAACTGTAAAAGTTATGTCCAAAATTAAAAACGTACGTCCGTCGTTACCAATGATGTTTATCTTACTAGTCGAGACAAGAAAGTACAGTCCGGCATTAAGTATCCGGTATTAGGGTAAGACATCCGATTTACAACATCACAAGGCAAGCTTTTTTTATTTTACAAGGTGGCAACCCTATCAGCGGGAGATAGCTTACGGGGCGCTCTTTGCTCTGTTTCACCAGTACAATAGCATCTATTAAAACCTCACTATTACGTTTCATGTTTTTAAGATTAACGAAAAGAAATCCTTTTTATAAAATTATTAATAAAGGAAACATCGACCCGTATTAATCTGTTTAAAAAAATAATAATTTAATTGCACTTGACAACATTTCGTAAAAGTAAATTTTGAACACTCGTTTGTCAGTCTGCACAGTAACAACTTTCGCCCGTATTCTAATGGACCATTTCGCACCTATCTGCGAAATCCAAAACAGTAAGCAAAAAGAAAGCAGAAAAACAACAGTCTAATACGATATGCAAATTGTACCTGATTAGTCGAAATACGGGTGCCGTGCCGCGCATACGATATCGATTATTTAATCGATTCCCGCGTAACTGGTTTCACAGAGTTCTATGTGCAATCATTGTAGTAAACAAAAACAAAGGAGTTGCATTGTAATCATAAAAACTAATGTAAACAAGCTAGTGTTCCGATTCCGATGTTTATTCGATGAATTTATAGATTAGACTATTTTATGTCTAGCTTTTAACTTCCTTCTTGCGTGTATTTTAATTTAATCCATCAGGCTATTAATGTCACATTTACTTCCCTAGAACACAATAAAGTATTTTTAAACATTCGAAAACTTTAAAAACCTCAATATTTTAATAAATAATGTATCATTTGAAATAATATATAGTCTATGTATTTTTTGTAAATATTATATTTAAGCAGTTATGACGTTTTTCATTGACATAATTGTTATCCTACTTTGCACCGTACCTAGGTCAAATGAATGTGGATTTGATCGACCTTGGCCCATATTTACCTCAGAATTGGGTCGTGTCACGATAACACAGAACTGTATTCACTTTTCTGATATCGTATTATATCTAAATTACTTAATACTTCTAGGTACTGAATTTTCTGGTATTAATGTAACTCATAGAAGAAAATTTAAAAAAAACAAACATGGCTCAAAAAAATATATTTACCTCGCTATATAAATACGTTATATCCGAATATCTTAATAATGGTTGATATAACTGGGACACTAGCAAAACATTACAAAAAGAAAATAGTGAATAGCTATTAAAATAGAATGAGAAATAATAAACAGAATTAAGATTCCTATCAAAGAAAACATATAAATCAATCTACAGTAAAATTTTATAAATGCGAAAGAAACAAAACGCTCTTATACGCTCTCATGGCCAAATTTCTCTACTGGGTTATTGAAATTTTAGTAATACCTATAGATATATAGACTTAAGAAGCTTAAAGATAGTTTGAACTTTGGGGAAGAATATAGGTTTCATCCAAAATACTAATTATTACCATGCTGGAGTGAATTACACAAAATCTTGGTGTAAAAGTGGCTTTTGATAATTTATTACAACCTACTTAAATTGCAAAACCAATCATAACTTAAAATATGATAAGAGTTATGGTATAGGATCGATTATATGAAATCTAAGTATTTTACAGTCAGCAAAAAAAGTTTGGGAACGCTTTCAAACAATCAATTTATCTGCTTTTTAATATTGATGACGTTGCATATTATGGAAAATGTTTTGTTGTTTTCTAACTCCCATTATTATTAATATAATTTAAAATTTATTTCTGCCTGCTTTTGTTAACATGTTAACTTTATTAAATAAAATTACCAATGAATGGTTTTAGTACAGGTATTTCTAAAAAATACCATTTTCACACGTTTCGAATCCCATTCAAGTTTCATGTTCACAATTATACCTATTATTTGCTAAATCATTACTATTATAACTACATCTATAATATTTAGCAAAAACTTTGGATTGTTTGTTTGCATTAAAAAAGATTTTAAAAATACAGGATGCTACATCTTATGCGGGAAGTCGCAGAAAAACACTATAATTTATATTTGCCAATAGGTTGGTTGATAAATCCATGCAAGCAAAAAAAAAACTATATATGATTATATTCATTCTTAATATCGAAGTTATTTTTCCCAAAATTATTACAATAATACAGGAAAAACCGTAATGCAATATCCAAATACAAGAACACGACATAGACTACGATAAGGCTTCTAGCTTTAGGTATTAGAAAAATCATACGTCTTCGCTCTACAAGAACCGATATTATTGAGTGAGACTTGTCTACATTTTTATGCATTGAACTTTTATTTACGTAAAAAAGTGTCTAATTGGCTTTATTGCGTAAAATTATAACAAAAAGGAATAAAACAACATTGTAAACAAAATTTATTCTGGCCAATAAAGTATCTCTCCCGAAATGTTGAGACATCAAAAGATTTATTATAAACGAATTACGATTACCATTAAAATTGTTATTTTTCTGGTGAAAAAGCAAGAAAATGCGTAAACATTTTAAGATTTTATCAGATGAATAAAATGTTGAAAATAAAATCCATTGGATAAATTATTATAATGATATGTCACAGTAAACATTCAATCTTACATACAGTCTTACATTCAAATTCAGAATCGGTATTATTTAAATCAAATTCGTGTTGGTATCTATATTTTACGTTTGCATGTTGTCATTTTTTTTTAATTTCCATTTTACTGTCAACTTTATCTTGTGTAAGTTGTTTAAAACTGCAATTTACTTGTAGCTTATAAGCTACTAGGAACAACTAATACAAATAGAAAACAAACAAACTATAGTTTGCTATTATTATTTGTGAAAGAAAGACTTTTTCAACTTACCAATAGTTTTTAATATCTGAAGGTCGTCCAGTTCATATTCCTTTTCCTCTTCGGTGTACTCCGATTCTGTAGTAGTAGAGTCCTGCTCCTCCGTAGAGGATTCCACGGATAGGGACCTAATTTCGGAACTGAGATCCGAGCTACAGTCCCTCACCAATTTTGCACTGGCCATCATCATTTTGAAGTCAAAGTCACTTAAAATTTATATAACAAATTATAAAAAATACTTTTATTATTTTTACAATACAAAATTATGCTGCATTTTGCGTTTTCTTCTAAAATAACATATAAATAACCGAGAGATTCTAATTTTAGTTAACCGCTATGATTATAGTTTACTTTTCTTTGGTTTCGAGATAAACGCGCGAAAGATCAAATTAATCCGACGTCGTTCGCGTTCTCCCTCCACCGTGATACGATACTTACTGCCGGAGACTCGCTTTGCTTTTCACGGCAACAGCTGTATGACGCTCGCAATCATAAATGTAGCCACGCTAATATAACTCACTCACTTGTCGCTCTGAAAAGATTTCCCGCCGTATTTTACAGAATGATATCACGGTTTGCGAAAAGGAACAATAGATTTTAAACTAACAGAAGTGCTGATCTTGTTTTTTCAGAAACAGGATTTGCTGGTATTTTTTTTACGATATGGCAACGCAACTTCATCAAGGACAGAAAAATCGACACGGAACTACTTCCGCTTGTCAACTAATACATAGCTCTATCTTAAATATAGAGTACTCGAGGAAACCTTCAGGTACCTACACTATTTTTTCTGATTTTTCGGAAATGTGGAAGAATCGTTCTTATCGTAAAATCACATCCGTGGAGATTGTCTGTGCATCGGAGGAAGTGGTTTATTTATTCATGGCTAGAGTCCATTATATTTGTCTTCTTTGCTATGTGTATAAAATAAGTAGGGGAGACCGAGGTGAGTTGTGACAGAGGTGAGTTGTGACAAGGAGGATTTCTCTCTACCTATTATAGCAAGCGAGATGGCTTTAACGCTTGTTTGTCGTTCTCGACACGCGCTACACGACTCAGTACCTGTCGACGGTGCATATGGCACAGTTGCGTAAATATATCGTCAGTGTACAAAAAATTGCGAAAAGTAAGTTTTTCTTCAAAATATTATTTGAATATATATCATATCTTAGTATATGTGCATTGATGTGTTATTTTTTCTTAAGTTATGTAGTTATTTAAGTCTCAATACGTGACACTGATTTTTTGTATGCGCATCGTGTTTAGAAAATATGAATTATTATTCGGACCAAGACGTCATTTTGAACACCTAGGCGAGTTGTGACAGCCTGTCACAACTCTCCTATCTTACTCCATATTTCTGCTGGGCTATTTTTACAATGTTTTTTTTTAACTTTAGATGTTTGTTGTTGTGTTAGTAGCTACTTAAGGTGTATAATGGCATACCGCATACTTATTTTACACACAAATAACTATACAGAGACTGAAAATCTAAGAATGTTAAGAAGCATGTCTTAAGCGAAGAAAAAATAAAGAAACCTAAAAAAGCAAAGAAGACTAATAAGAAGAATAGAACAAGTGATGAAGAAGATGCAGAAAATAATTGCTTTTATTTGGTTTGCCTTAAAGCCTATGCAGACAGCAGATCGAATGATCAGTGGGTCCAAAGCCTTGAATGCAAAGGCTAGGCACACGTAGATTGTACTGGGGACGAGCTGCATTACGTTTGGCATAATTGTGAATCTGATTAGATTAAGATTTTATACTAATTATAACAATAATATGATTGACCTCAAAGCGATACCATATTAAGTTAATGAAAATATTATAATTACTTGTTATGAGAATATTAATACTATGTTGTTTTAGTTGGTAGGTATTAAAAGATGATTAATCAAGTCAAATCAAATCAATCTTTATTGTTGATCGCAGGTTATATAAAGATATTGGATGCAAGGACTGAATAGTTAGTAATTGTCAACTAATCTAATCAATAACATGTTATGTCAAAAATTCAATTAATTCATTAAGTATTTATACATTTACAAAGTACTGTCAGCTAGATAGTCGTTTACACTATAATATGCTTTAGCTACTAATAATTTACAAAGTTTTCTATTAAAAACATTACAATTATCCAGATAACGTATTGTTTTCGGAATTTTATCAAAAATTTTTGGAGCCATACAAAAGATTACTTTTGTTCAACACAGCTGTCTTAGAGGGTATCGTACACAATTTGTCTCGATGACGCAATCTCGTCTTATTTTCAAATAGTTGTTGATTCTGTTTGACAAAAATACCAACTTCGAATATATAGATTGATGGCAGGGTCATAATATTTAGTTTAATAAAATATGGCCTACAGGTATCCGTACTCTGTAAATGACATATGCTCCTAACACATTTTTTCTGGGCTCTAAAGGCAGTTACAGAATCAGTCGAATATCCCCAAAATATAATGCCGTATCGAACAGTTGAAACTACGTACGCGTGATAAGCTGTAAGGACCGTGCACTAATTCGCGATCCTACTAAGTTTGTACAGTGCACAAGAATACTGGGACAACTTTTTGCAAACATGTTCAGTGTGTGTTTTCCAAGTCAAATTTATTATTATAGTACTAATTAAAGTACTGATTTGATAAAAAAACGTGCTTGATTTATTTATGTCGTATATAATGGTATTTTTATGTCTTATAGCTTAAATACAATGATGTCACAACTTACCTCGGTACCTGTCACAACTTACCTCGGTAGAAGGAGAGTTGTGACAAGGGGAGTGGACTTGAATTTTGTTATTTTTTTCAGAAACTATTATACTTTAATTAATTTTAGTGATGGTTTTGAAAACAGAAGGAATGGCGCTAAACTAATTCACATGAGTCATAACTGTGGAATGTTTCTTAAGCGAGATAGAGACCCTTATGTAAAAATTGTCACAACTCTCCTAGGTCTCCCCTACTCTATCTAAAATACTCGTAGTAACTTGAGTTCCTAAGTCCTTCGGAAGGCACGTTGGTCTCGACTGCATCTACAGACGTTGACACACACTAATCCGCACTGGACTTCAAATATGCTCTATTTTTGTTTGTTATGACTTCCGGATATACCGAATATATGCTATATAGACACCACTCAACGTAATGAAATTCAAAATTAAATGGAGCCATTTGATAGTTTTGTATAGTCTGATGTGCTGTACCTTAATACTGTACCTATATAAGAAAACTGGAGACGAGTTAGCTACATAAACGCATTGTATTTATGTATAAAACGCTGGACTATACCAGTTTTAGGAAATACCTTGTGTTGCTTTATATCTATGCCACTATTAAGCGCAAAGAGGCACGTTTTCAGTCTCGGGCATTGCGAGGTTAAAGTCGAGGCCGTTCTAGTTGACGATTCATCTGCCCACGATGTCATATTAGTATCGTTTTGACCGCAAACGGTTACTTTAAAAGAGGTTATGCTATAGAGAAAGGTATTGATTTGGAAAGGTAATTGGTCCTAAGGCCTACTCTAGGCTGATAGTAACGGTGGTGTTATAGTTCTTTCCTCCCACTCTCCTCAGAATGGTAGGCCATAACGGTGGTAGTTTTGCCTTCACTTAATTTAGACAATGCGGAAGGAAAGCGATACATAAGACTTTCGAGTGGTTGGTCCATCTATAAACCCTGAAATAATTCTGCCGGGAACAATACTCTACTATAACTATTATTGTAATCCAAGAATTTCTATTATATTCGCTAAGTAAAGTGGATGCCGTGGATGATGGATGGACAGGCTTAAGCGAGGCCGGCCTACCTGGTAAAACCCGCTGCGTACCCTTCAGGGGGAAAAGACCAGGGATCCGGCAGAGCCCATGGAGTACCCCATGTCCATGCTAGTCCATCCTTTACAACTAGCGGTAGTTGTAAAGGATGGACTAGCATGGATTATTATTTGACATATAAACGTTGCGAAACTCTAATGATTTCGAAATACAAGACCGCGTGCGCCGCGTTACATATAATGCTTATCGATCCTATTTTATATAAGGATCAAAAGACTATGAGACCGTTTAAGGTATGTTTACTAGAAATGTCAAAAATTTTACACTTATTCCTACGTACTGAAAAATCAAAAATCAACTCGAAATTAATATTCAATTTGCGGATGTATTTAAGCAAAGCTATACACTACATTTTGTATGATAAAACAGTTTATATGGTAATTTATGAGAATCGTATATTTTACAACTTGTTAAATAGGAAATATAAAAAGTATTAATTTATCAATAATGATTAAGGTACATGGCACCGTAGACATTAACGAAGTAAGAGCGTTTCTGGCAGAGCTAGGCTGACTAGAGTAGTATCCGGCCACACACCCTCCATACACAAAACATGCGCAATATTGTTGTCGAGTTGGGGAGACGCCCGTTGAAAGAAGAAGAACGTACATGGCCTCACTCTCCCGTCTCAAAAATCCAAACTGTATAATAACAAAGATATAATATAACACCATTTTATATAGCAAATAAAACAATTACTAATTTGTTTACAAAGTATATTTGGACAACAAGCATATTGCTATTATCATATTAAGCTACAGATATACATACATCGTTAAATAATATCACTTTCAAATCCGATATATACGTTATTTTTTTTTAATAAATAACTATAAAATCTACCTTTGTTTACATAAATATTTTATCGTTACTTAAACGAAATCCTTATAACACTTCTATCGCTTAGAACCATCATTTGCTAAAGCGAAAATAAAAGTGGGTATTCGACAGCACCCCGCGAAACTTTGAGGAAGTTGACATCACTCTATCTTTCTCGCTCTACAAAATAGGTAGCGGTTCTGAGTAACGAAAAATACAATTCCATACTGCCAGGTTGTAGTCCAACCATTAGTGGTGCCATCCCAACCAAGCATTCCTATTTCCTGTATGTGATCCACAAAGCCTTACATTTAAAAAACTATAAAAACAAAGTTTGAAACGATGCTTTATTTCCACATTTTGTTTAAAACAAACCTTATCATAAGTATGCGAAGGTGTACATTTTTAAATGTACGTACATACATTATAATATTTGAGACCATGTTTAGAGAATTATCAATTATTAACTACACTTGTTGTAAGCTGTTGTAGCAAATTTTTATTATATACAAATTTACAAACATCATTTTATAGTAAATCTTTAAAAAAAATTGGAAATTGGTAAAAAAAATTCACCAGTCCCAGATGCCCGAGATGGTTTTTTTTAAGATGACATTGTGAATGCCAAAAAATTAACTAAAAATAATAGCTCTAAAATACAAACCAGTAAATACCTTATGCGAAATATTTTAGTGTTCGCATTGCAGAGTTACGAATTAAATAATACAATTTTCAAAGCTATCTGAAATGTAACGTTTATCCAATTTAATTGCACGGTCGCCGAACTAAAAGATTAAATACCTCTTGCACTCATGCACATTGCTATTTCCCTCACACAGATGCAGCTACCAGATTAAATGTTTACGATAACCTGTACAAAATTCTTTCTTTTCCGCTACCGTGCTGTACTCAAACAATAACATTATTATTAGCCGATGGGTGATAAAGTTTAGTGATGGTGTATTGAAAATATATATTACTTTTTTTAAATCCAACGCTCATGACATTAAAAAGTTATAACTACAAATATTTTTTAATTAATCCAAACTGTTATAAGCTTATTAAATATGAATTAAAGAGCCTCAATCGTATGCCTTACACTTACAATCAGATGTTCTATAATGCGCAGAATTATGTCAGTATATTTATTTAAACAATTAAAATATACAAAAATGTACATATGTACAAAATAATAACTATAACTTTCTTGGCAAGTAAAAACTGTCATTTTAATTCCACAATTCCATAACTAAATTCTTATCTTAATACAAAACGTAACTACTACAATTTAAATTAATATTTTTCAACAAAAACAACAAAATATTAACTTATCACATTATAAAAGATAATCTCCACTTTACTTATATATTAAAAAAGATTCTTACATTACCATTCGATCTACCATCCATGACTTGTAAGCACAAAAAGACCATATACTATTTTATTTGTTTAATAAATCCTCTCTCTACATATTGCAGGGCACCCTCCCTTTTGCGACTAATACAGGTTTCGTTAAAAAGTATATTATCCAATGAATCATTCACTGATAGGCGTTAACTAGACATCAAGTAACATATTTTTTTATTTATTTAAATTATTATAATATGACAATTGTAAATGCTAAACATATATATTAAGTAAGCAAGTTTTATCTTAAATATAAATGCAATTTTAAAGTTGTGATGAAACAATGTTAACTAAAAACATGAGAAATTGTAAAAAAAACATGATTTCTATAATCAATGTTATTATTTAATTTAAGATTTGAATGGTTAAAAATTATAAAGTTTGTTTACAATCGTAAATTTCGTAATTGATATTTACAATAAACATGTTTAGCCAAATTGTAAAAATACTTATTTATATATATTAGTTTATATAAACAATATATACAATCGTCAACTACACAATGCTTATACTATCGATATTAAAGACTGATATAATACACTTATGTATAGACAAACAATGTTTATTGTACAAAAAATAGCAAGTATATTCGTAAAAAAATCACTATTGCGAATAGCATTTGTGTCGAACACAAATGTCAAATGTATTGGATGTCTTAGTTCTCGTTTCGGAGGTAGATGACGCTATGTAAATGTAAATACAATTTTTTTACGTATAACTTTACGTGCTTAGTGTACTGAAATCGTACCTATATGTCTAACAGGACCACAAAAAATGCAAAGGATAAAATATCATGCAGCTTTGAAGATGAAAACAACGCCGCTGTGCGTCGCCACTGCGGCCCACTCGTGATACGTTTTGGTTGGACAGTATGCCATAGATGTAACATCTGCTAGAGGGAAACGTTCAGGAAATGATTCTCTGGGAGCGGTGGAAGCCTAAAACAAGTTAACATTTAAAATTATTCATCATAGATATAGAACGATTTGAGTGTTTAAATTAAATGAAGATTATACATGGTTATTTACAAAACGCCAGTAACCAATCGTTAACAACAACGTTTCCATACGAATTCACTCTAACACAATATTTAGATTTAAATTTAATTTATCTAAACTGTAATGGCTGCCTAGAAGAAATTGCTACTCAGCGCTAAGTCTGCGTGGACCAGTTTTGCCGATTTTTGGAGAAACAGTATATTTTCTAATTGAGACTTCAAGCAATAATGACGTGTCCTTGACGTGTCAGAAAATCAATGCAACGGAAAATCAACCTTGTTGTTAGTTGACATACACGCGAACTTCAACCTTAGGGTGGTAGACCACTTTCTTGGCCGACTGTACATGTATGTTGTACATTACACTTCGATCAACAATACAACTAGATGTCCGGTCAGTCTCAAAGATAGCCGAAAATACGACTTACTTCAAAGTGCGATCTTATTTTGATTTAGTTTATTTGTAACGGCGTCAGCGTTCGGACATATTACGATGTCACAGTGCGTATACTATCGGAACAAAAACGTATATGTTGGAATATCATATTAACGGGTTATATTTTACTAAGAAAAATAAAATTGACAATACGACTCCATACTTACCCAATTATATTATTATTCCTTTTATTACGTATTATTCCTTGGTTGTCGCAGTGCATGGTCTATGTTTTGATGCCGTATTTGAGTATTGTTTAAGTATGGGAGGCCTCGTCATATTGTTGATCGAAGACATTACATTATAATTTAATAATGGTTTTAACAAAATTGTTATTGTTAATTTAAATAACGTATACCCTTACCTTGAAAGTCCTTTTCAATAGTTTAAATTCTATCCCATATTTATTGATAGCATTATCGTATGTAGTGGGCTCCATTGTTACAGATAGCTCGTCGTTTTTCTGTTTTCTTTTATTGTCTTTGGATTCAATGTGCACGATATTAACCGATGCCACGATCTGTTGAAAATTTTTATTTGAATTTTTAAAGAATTACATACATGAGAAGGTCGATGGTCCAGTATTTAGGCTGTTCAGTTTGTCAGGAGGCCTATTCATAGGATGGGTGACGAAAAATATATTATCACTAACTGCTCCCTACTTCGGAAGCCAAATTAAAACCTATCAAATCCTCATTAAGTCGACGTGGTAGATTATGGTTCATTCTTCCTATATTATTGCAGTCATAAGGCCCCAACATTTCGGAACATTCATAAGTTGTTGGTACCGATATCCATATATATATATATATATTAATATATTACACATTAAGGATAACGGATAATTTTTATTTTTGTTTCGTCAGGTAGATTGTGGAAAAATATTAAACACATACTTATTTATTTTTTGTGTTATCATTAAAAGACGTCAATATATTGAGTTAAAATGTCACATGAGATCACGCTTTTGTACATTTTCTACAACTGCCCCACCTCCTCAGCTTTAATTATAATAATAATAATTATTATTATAATTTAATTTGACATTTCTACATCCATATGCCTGTATTTAATGCCTGTTATCTAAGCTATTTCTTGTTAATTGAAGTAAAAAACACGTATTTAATATTCTTCTATTATCTGACTGACGGGCTATATAGAATTAGTCATCATGCCTATTATTTCGTCAGATATAATTTAGTCAAATCACATAGTTTCATCACGTTCACTGAACTACGTTAAATTAAGAACACAAATCATTCGTATTAAAACTTCAACTCCGACAAAAAATTGCTCAACTAAAGCACCGTATATGGAACGGTCTAACCACTGCGGCATCAAGCATCACATTTCTTCATAATAATCGATAAATAAAAATGTATTGCGATATTGTCTGACCGCTTTGTTGGTGTCGTAATAGAGGGGGAAGAGTGTAGTGGTCCGCAGCAACGGCGGTGTGAGTATCAATACGCGGCCGCATATGTGGCAGCCCGCCGTCCTGGACGTCGCGCCCAATCGTCGCTCGGTACCATGCCATTCCAACTCGCTAGCAGACTGACCGACTGGAATAGAAAACGATACTATATTATATTTGATCAATTTTACTTAAAAAAATCGAGTAGCTCGGTGGCGTCGTGGATAAGCGCCGCGGCTCGCGATCGCAGTCGTTAAGCAACTTTCGCGAGGGTCAGTCGGTGACAAAAAAATTATTATCTCCAGCTACTCCGTGCTTCGGAAGGCACTTTAAGCCGTTGGTCCCGGCAGCATTTGCAGTCGTTAATACTCTCCAATCCGCATTGGGCCAGCGTGGGGGTCTTAGCCAAACTCCTGAACCATCCATAAGGAAGGCCCCGGCAGTGGGGACGTTAAAAGGCTGGTGATGATGATGATGACCTAAAAAATCCACCAGCCCCAGGTGATAGGAGGAGATGGGACTCGAACCCACAATTTCGGGCCTTTCTCAATCCGGGCGCCTGCTCTAACTCGAGACCTAACAGGACTGACTGAATTTTTAAGCATTTTTCATTGAAGATAGAATATTGTATTATAAAAATGTATTAAAAAAAAATAACCCAGTATAAGGTCTAGGGATGTAACGATACCATCTAGGTATCGATACCTAGGTGATCATAAGGTATACCTATACGTATCAGTTTTTTCGTGGGATAATAGTTTAAAAATTATATGATCCCATTGATTTCTACTACAATCTCTATACCATTGAAGGGGACTGCGATAGATTTTAAAATGATACAGTTAGTCTTAAAGTATTTTTTAAGTCAAAAATAAAATTCGTGGCGTTATTGATGCCAGCATATATTTACCTAGTCCATCGTCGCCGGCAAGCATAACAGTAGGCCAGGCTTGCGTGAAGGTGGCTAGAACGGCAGGCACGTGTGATGTCACACGAGTCGGCCGCACCGCGCCGCTAGTTAATATCGCACCTGTTGGACACGAACCGCATACCGCGTCGAGAGAAGCACCTATGCCAGGGAACGAGTCCACGTCTGTAAACACATAATATAATCTATATAAATATATATAAAAGAAAGACTCATTTGTTACACCATAACTCAAGAACGGTTGAACCTATTTTTATTATGTTTTTAGATTTGTCTTTGTCGGGAATAGGATAATAAGTATTAAAATATGATATTTTGACAATAATAATAATAAAGGCAAAACATCAGTGATAATAGTAATGTGTTATAATAAAACCCAACTGATAGCTCACGTTCATCATTCATTTTCTATAACAAAACGCAACTGAAAGTTCACGTTATGTTGTATAAGTATGATTTGTTTTAAATTATCGCTAAGTTAACGGGCAATGGGTTTGTTTTTATGCTAGAATTATAATAATAATAATAATATCTTATTGTGATACATATTATTATTCCGATAGAACGATATTATTCCTTAATTAACAATGGCGTAAAATTATTTAAAATTTTAAATCAGCTTATTCATTGACTATTAGGCGAAGCATAGGTCACCGGGTTCGCATGTATAATAATATTTTTATTTATATATTTTATACAAAAACAATAAGTTCATTTAGAAGACAGGTGTCCAAAAGTCCGTTCCATGCAGTTTCTGACTTACACCTTGTGAAATTGTAATACAGCATCAATTTTATTTTTTCTTTCAAACAGATGTTATAAAATTGAGTAAGACTAATTTTATCGATGAAATTTTATTTCATGTCAATTGATAAACCTGATATGTCGTCTAAGCCAAATGACCGATCGTATCGCGTCATCCGTATCATAAGTATAAAAATTTTGAATCTAGAGCAGCATTATTTTCTCTTTTTAATGTGAAATGTACTTTATTTATAAACCTACTTATAATATCTAATAAACAAATAAAGCATACATGAATCGGCTGAAGGAGAACTTCGTGCCTGATAGATATCGTTAACATTTTAGTTTCACTTTACTATGAAAATATTGACAAGATGCATCTGTGTGAGCGCAATAGCAACATGTTTGCGCAAGAGTGAAAGAGATATGTAATGCCGGGTCATTGAACGATATTCTCTCTGTTTGGCGACCGTCCTATTATGACACTCCTAAAGAGCCCCAAAAGCGAAACTACAGAACATAAATAAAAAGTTACGTCATACCTGTCACACAAGAGTTAAGCGACCGCTCGTCGTGGTAGGGATAAAATACGGTCATATCATCTTCTGTGATCTTCAAAAAGGGTGACTCAGTTGTCAAATCATACCGAGCGATAGATCCGTCTGCGTATCCGACCACTACATCACTATGACCAGTTCTCTAAAATAAAGGGTTTAAAATATTTAAATATACAAATCAATTCAATTGGCATCGAAAATTCTAAAAATTCTTGAAAATTCAATTGGCTACTTGACTGTTTTGAGAAAAGCATTTATAAATATGATATCAAACCATCTTCCATTTCTCAAAAAAGTATAAGTGGAAGTTTTCTAAAAATAAAATAAAATATTTTAAGCCTTGACGTCACATCTCAATAAACATGAGTTATTGTAACATTTTGCATACACTCTCAAACAAAGACGTTGACTTATACGTAATTAAAATGCGACGTTACAGGATGCTCCGTCATGGCCATCGGACTTATAAATCGCAAGTTAATTTTGAAAAAAAAACTTATAATTTCTTTTAAGACAAAAATACTGCATAGTTATGATTAACGTATAAGAAAAGCTCTAAAGAGTTTAAATATTATTTCCATTCTTTCTGTATTACTTTCAACTTACCTTTGACCATGTGATGGCAGTAGCTTGAAATTTTTTCCTATCTGAATTGAGACTACAAATTTTAAGTTCTGCTACGGGTTTTAAATTTACAAACACATTATTTGAGCTGTAACAATCACAAAACGAATTAATACATCTAATAAAAAGAAAATATTGCTAATATTTAATTTGATATGCCCATTTACTTACCCGGTTGTAATAGAATCAGGATATGGCACAGAAAATATGTATGCTGAACCATTGGAACAAGCAACAGCGAGAAGTCCCAATCTCACCCACGTTTTGTTTCCTGAATTTTCATCAAATATATCTCGAGCACCAGAGGGACACCAATCCATACTCCATACGGTACCATAATCGTGACTAATTCCAAGAGCTAATCTCGGTGTATCACTAAAAATAATATATTTTTAACTAATGAAAATTCCGCGGTCTTGTTAATAGCCAAATATTAAAAAAGATATAAATAAGGAATTAATACATATTAGAAAACATCACGTATAGTCAACAGCACGTCAGGTTCTGCAAATCTGTAAAATTTCTTCACTTGATTCTATACCTTACGTTTTACAATTAGAGTTTAATTCAACTGGAGAATTTTGTCATATTATGATAATCCGATGTGCAGCCCTGTGTGACGTGCAGCTGATATTATAAAAATTGTATGATAAAATGTACGTATAAATGTTCTAAATCCTCCGAAATCATATGATCTAAAATGTGTTAAAAGTGCTTATTCTTAAGGAATTTATTTTAATCAAATGCGGTTCCAGTTTACTAACTTCAATATGTTAACTAATTAGTTTGATGAAAAGATCTAATAATATAATACATTATAGAGTAATGGCCTGACTCACACTTGACTGATTTTTTATGACTATCTCATGTCAAAATGAAAATAGTAAACTTATTGAGTGATGAGTTTACTCACCTTCTCAAATTAATGAAATCCCAGATTTGTATGAGCGCTGGATGCATCGGTGCATCTTCATGGTCGTGTCTTGGCACGTCGCCGCCTAGATGGACGCTTATTGCAAGATAACTGTGCTCGTCCTCATCGAGTCCGAGCCGAGCCGGGGCCCAACATATGTATTGAATACTGCCTCCCACGAAGAAACTATTCACTGAACAACACAAGAATAATACCAATGACTTTTACCTACTAACCAAGTAAATGAAATAAAATAAAAATAAAATCGGATGTATTTTTCTAAAATGTAGCCAAATGCAAAATTCTTTATTTTTAACATTACACTATTGATTCGTAAAGTTTTCAGTTATAACCAACAAATCACATAACCCTAAAACGTCAATTAAACCCAATTCAATCATACATACCTCTATTAGTATTGAATCCTTCAAACTTATTATAGACATTCCATCTGCCATCAACCTTAACGTTGCAAGATTTTGTTAATTTAGGCATATATTCATTAACATGGTCGTCTGTTATAAAATCATATTGCGATATACGCCATTCAGGAAATAAAATACCGTAGGTATTGCAATGGGTTTTGCGGCTGAAAATCAATTGTTATTCTTAAAGACATTTAACTATAACAAAATAATTATATAAATTGTATATATACTTACAAATCTCTCAGTAATTTATCGTAATATGGCCTCCAATTTAGCAGTTTAAATGGCAACCATTGTGGTACAATTATTGAGTCTGAAACATACCAACCAAAACTCGAAATTACCAGGCTATATGTTTGCTATTATTTACAACTTTTTTGTTTTATTCCAACACTACGTTTTATGGGCTAATAAGAAACTATTGAGACGAGTACTAATGTATCTATAGATATTCGTTTATTCATTTCACAAATTGCATATAACAAAGTATAATAGATGTTACATTGGATTACAGTTATTGTGACATCCTGTAAGGGTGTAGCAATTGTATATAGCATTAATAACATAACACTTAATAACCCATAACAATTTCACTAGTCTAGCATACATGAGTCCTAACTTATTATCGGGAGGTCACTTTATTATATGTTTATTTTATAATACTTTAATTAGGTTTACTTAAGATGGTTTAGTATCTACTAATCTATCTGAAAAGAGATTACTAACCTCTTCGCCGTTCCACTTTATCTTCTTCATCATCGGGAATTTCATCCTCAGAAAATTCAGAGGACTCTTCTTCAGATACCTCAGAATTAGAACCTATGTCTTCATCACACTTATGTTTCTGGAATCGCTTCAACGCATCCGTTCCAAAATTACATTTTTCGCATTTATAATCGTAAACGATCTACAACATGAAATTGTGTTATTTTTAACATATCAAAAATTACAAAACTTCAAATATACCGCTCAGAATATAACTAAGTAACTTAAGAACGCACGCACGCACGCACACACACACGCAGGCACGCAGGCACGCACGCACACACACACGCGCGCGCACACACACGCACGCACACACACACGCACGCACACACACACGCACGCACACACACACACTCACGCGCACGCACACATACACACTCACGCGCACGCACACACACACACTAAAGCGTGTATTGAACCTAGCACTCTGAGATGGCGACACCTTAAAGCATGTGAGCGCCTTGATCACAGATTTTTAATCAATAAATCGTAAACGTACAATGACAATTTATACACTTACTTCTGCCACTGCTGTCTGATAATTTTTTATCACATTATTGGCCCTGAAACAAATGGCATCTTATTATTTATAGTAAAATTATGATCAACTGATCTTATTCTCTTCTATTATAATAAAGCTATCTGTCTCTCTCTCTCTATATTTAATACAAAAATTATGAACATTAGACATTGATGTTACCGAAGTTGTTGGTGTTTGATACATCTTATGAACTGATAATCAGTTCATAATCTTCATCTCAGATCATTTCATAACATATATCACAGGAGAAATCGGAGGATCTTCATCCTGATTATCCTCGTATTCGATACGAATGGAATGCTGTATGTGATATATGTGATACAAAAATTTGTTTAGCGTTTGCTATAACCTCTAATATAAACAATCCACACCGGGATAACGTAATTCCGGATTCAGACCTGAAATCCCGGGGTTGAAAAAAAGAACTAATCACAGATCAATGCTTCAAAGAATTGAAGTGGACACACATATGTTAGAAAGCAGGTATTCCCCTTTTTTATCATTCTCAAAAACATAATCAGCGTCAAAACTTCTTACTTCTCCGCAGCTTTTCTACGGCCAACCATGGGCTCGTCTTCCCGTTGTTCCTCTATCTCCGGCTCACTCATTTTTTGTCTCAGTCTTTCTAACTGTCGTTCTTTTGTCAACTCTTTTTCCCTGTGCATTGCAAAGTGGCTACTGCGATACACACTAAAGTACTTATTGCCGCATATTGTACAATCATCTTTATACATTTCGGTTTCCTTAAAATAAAAGTTAATATTATGTTAGATCTTTAAATTGGATAAGGTTAAGTACACCATTAGAATATATATTACCTGGTCTGTTTTTCCGCAAGCTACGACATGAACAAAGAACCCTACGAGAGACGCTCTTGTTTCGCCACAAGTGTTGCATACTAAATTCTTTTTTATTTGTTTATATTCCTTTAAATATTTTTCTGCTCCATATGGACTTTTTAGATCCTGTAACAGATATAGTTTTATTAAGTTATCATAATTATATAACTTTTAATGTGAACACCTCGGTATGTAATAGCTGTATAAGCGCCGCGGCCCGCAATTGTTGTCGTTAAGCAACTTTCGTAAGAGTCGGTCACGGGATAGGTGACCAAAAATTATTATCTCGAGCAACTCCATGCTTTGGAAGGCATGTTAAGCCGTTGGTCCCGGCTGTATTTGCAGTCGTTAATACCCTCCAATCCGCATTGGGCCAGCGTGGAGGGTCATGGCCCATCCTCCTTAACCATCCATAAGGAAGGCCTGAGCCCCTGCAATGGGGACGTAAAAGAGCTGATAATGAAATGTAAACACTTACAATAGGTATATCACCAACAACCCAAGCAACGTTATAATGTTTATCCATTGCGTGACTTTTCCACTTATTTGGTAAAATATTTTCGTGACAAATTGCACATTCGTATAAGCCTGTAACATAGTTCAATATTAAAACAAGTAACAATACTTTTTTTTAAATTTAACAAAACAATGATATGAAAAATGACTCCAAACTCACAATTAATTTCAGCAAATATCTTTATTTAGTCCAAAATCATAATTTATTATTAATTATCGAAAGAACCCCACTGTGACTGTTTGTACTACTAGTACGAAATAACACCTGAGGACCTGACACTAATTACAATTATTACATAATAACGACTATAAGTTATTATTATGTAATAATCATTGAAATTTTCCGAATTTCCGTTCGAGGACAATTACGATAGGCGCTCGATTGAAAAGAGTTATACCTTCATTTTTGCAAAGCAAAGACTTTCTATCTTCACATAAATTATTGGCAGGAACTCCGTCGCAAGTCTCCATGTGTTCAATATATCGTGTAGCAAACCTTCTGCTAAAACCACATTTAGCGCACACCAAATTTGGTATCGTTCTCAGGAGATTGTTCAAATACTCTTTTACATTATCTTTGTTTTCCAATTCCTATGGCAGAAGAAAAAAAAATTATATGCTTATCTATTAGAAATCATATGAGAACAGAATACATAACGATAATTACCTTAGAAAAGCACTTTAAAAAATCCGTTATGACGGGCAAACGACTGGACTCGAACCAGCAATCTTTCTTTAAACGAATAAGTGCTCTCCAACTGAGCTACCGGAGTCTTAACGAGACTGCCGGATTTCTCAAGTACTTGTTTTGTTCACTTCTAGTGAATTTATATCCATCAATGTTTAGGTAAGTTACCTAAACAACCGAAAGGAATATTCTTACAAATATTTTAAACTTTCGAATGAAGTTTACCAACTTAAATATTAAAATTCACAAAAAAAATGTTTGAGTTATTTTTAATAGAATCACTATATTATATTTGATCAATTTCGCATTCATTATGCTATCTTGGAAAATATTCCTAATGAAATATGCTTAAAAAATACTCTGAGATGGCTCTCGAGAACCCGCGACTTTTCGCAATCTTATGTAATGACTATAATTTAATCCAAACTAATTATTACTCACTATAGGTTTGTCCCCTTCTCTCCACGCGAGGTAGTTATGTGCCAATTGAATATGTTTTATCCAACCGCCAGCGGGAACTTCTTTAGAACATACGCCGCACTTAGTTTTCTCCTCTATATTACTTAGATTGAACGAATTATCATCAATTTCTTCATGGACGACCTGCTTTAAATATTTTTTGGATTATTATACATAAACTTCAAAACACAGGATAATTATGTTTATTTTATTTTAAGTTGTATATACAAAGCATTTTTTTCTGGCATATTCCGCACTTCGCATACGCGTATTATAAGGGTTATTATACGGGCTTAGCACACAGTTGACACAATACATAGATACAATACAAAGAGAAATCAGAAGTACGAGGGTCAAACTGAAAGTTCTTAGAACTGGCCACTTATAAACAATATAATAAAAAAATAATTCTAAAATTTGAAAATATAACTCTTTGCCAATATTACTGAGTATATATTTCATTCATTTGTCATTTGTTTTACGATTTGGCGGCAAATTGAAAATTGTCTGTGTCACGTCATCATGAATTTAACACGAGAAAATTTTCTTGCAATGATTTTTTATGACTTTCGATGTCATTTAAGTCAACAAGAAAGTTATGATAGACTACGATTGGCCTTTCACGATGAAGCCCCATCTCGTGCGACTGTTTACAACTGGTTTAATGAGTTTAAACGTGGTCGCACTAATCTCACTGATGATTTACGTGAGGGACGGCCTTCTACGGCGACGACTGAAGATAACATCTGTGTTGTGCGGCGTATGATAGAGACTGACAAAAGAGTGACCTATCAACAGATTCGGACAAGCTTAGGCATCGGTATGAGTCAAGTGCACAAAATCCTCCACGAACATTTAGCGGTCAGGAAGCTTTGCGCCCGGTGGATACCTCATAATTTGACTGAGGCTCAAAAACTCCATCGTGTGGATTGGTGTCGTAAAATGATTGAAAGATTTAACGGAGGTGACTCAAATGCTGTGTTCGACATACTAACAGGTGACGAAAGCTGGATTTACTGTTATGATCCTAAAACCAAAAGACAATCTGCTCAGTGGGTGTTTCCTTTCGAGGAGTTGCCAACTAAAGTGAAGAGAGATCGAAGTGCGGGAAAAAAAATGGTGGCCTCGTTCTTTGGAAGGATAGGTCATTTTGCAACAATTGTGTTAGAGGATCAAAAAACAGTTTCTGCAGAATGGTACACTACCAATTGTTTGCCACTTGTCTTGGAAAAAGTTCGAGAGAAACGACCTCGCAGTAGGATCCTCCTTCACCACGACAACGCCTCGTCGCACACCGCCAAGCGAACGATCGACTATTTGGCAACATCAAACGTTGAATTACTGGGTCACCCGCCGTATAGCCCCGACCTCGCGCCTTGTGATTTTTATTTATTTCCAAAAATTAAAGAAAAACTTAAAGGAAAGCGGTTTATGAATGCTGAAGAAGCGGTGGCTGCGTATCGCGATGCCATTGAAGAGACCCCTAAGGACGAGTGGGCAAAGTGCTTTTCCCAGTGGTTCCATCGCATGCAGCGGTGTATTGACGTGAATGGACAATATTTTGAAAAGATATAATAAAACTAATAACTGGCTAATGTAATCAGTTTTTGATTTTCTAAGAACTTTCAGTTTGACCCTCGTAAAGTCATTTTGAGAAACTATTATAATTCATGTGTCCATCTCCATACAGTTTAGATTGATAAAAATTATATGAACATATTAATTTCAGCATCCACTGTCTGATTATGTCTGCTTGAGATGGAAAACCTTGCCACCAATTTTAGAATTAACGGCGTAACATTAAGTAGCACTAATGAGAATTATTCAAAACACTGTCATACGCCTTACAACATTTGGATGTATAAAAGACATTAATTTCCTAAATGACTTGTGATAAAATTGAAATCTAGATATTTTGAAACACTTACTACTCCACTGCAATATCGAACGTGGTCTAAAAATAATTTAGGGTATTTCTTCTTCACGTTACATTTAATGCAGGACAGGCCGCCTTCACGTTTGGAAATTGCCTTCAAATAATCACGCACAGCATCAAAATCTTCCAAATCCTAAAAGTATTATTGAAACGTAACATTTTACATTAATATTGAAGGAATAATGTTAAGCTTTTTTCATTAAAAAACGAAATTTTCCAATGAATGTGACAGCATAGAATCACGAATTTACTTAAAAGAAGACTTGTCTTTAAAAGACTTTAATTTTTCAATTGCGAGACCTGAGCTAGAATCAAACAAATTTACTGGACTACAGATTTTACTATAGATAAGTCATTGTAACTGAGAGCCTAGCATAAAAAACTCCTTTACCTAAAACTGAAACACATCGTAACAAATTCTCAATTTGCTAATAAATTTTTGAGATCAATCTATCAGAATATTATATACACTTACTAAAGGGGCATCTCCTTCCATCCATGCTAAGTAATTATGTTGTTCTCTAATGTGTTTATTCCATTGATTAATTTTCAATTCATTTTTACAAACTCCACATGTTACATTTTTAGTATCCGATGTTGTTGCGTTCTTAACAACGACGTTCTGAAAAAAATATGGTTACATTTAACGCTTTCCAATTACAAAAATTAAAGCATTTATATCATGTAATATATTTTAATTTTTGTTATATATACCTCTAAATTGCACTGTTTTATATGCTCTAAAAATTCCCTTGCCTTTTTTCCACTATACTTGCATTTGAAACAAGTTAGTTTTTTTACAGATTGAGTGAGATTTACTAAATGATTCAATACTGCTTCATCGTCTTCTAAATTCTGAAATCGTTTGTTAAATATAAGTAACAATGTCCAACATATACACAATTAAATTTCGTTTTAATTGTGTAACAAAAATACACAATTAAATTTCGTTATATTAGTATCAGCCACTTACTAGAGGCTGATCTCCATCCTTCCACGCTAAATAATTGTGAGTCCCTCCAATATGTGTCGTCCACGTCGATTCTTGTATGTCCAATTTACAAACCCCGCACTTAACTACCTCACATTCTGGAACATCTAAACGAGTCTTTTTGCTGACAACCTCTTCACTATCATCGGATAAAGAACTCTGAAATGATATTTTACAAATAAATGTAACAATTTCTTAGATACTCCTTTTCACTTCGACAAAACTTGTCCCATTTTATGACAATCTTAGAAGTAATAGAACTCACAATACGTGCCCGTTTCCTCCGTCTGCTTGGTCTAATATAATCGGCACTTTCCCGTCGACTCCCGTCACTGGCTACTTCAGAAGAATCTAAGGTAGCATCACCGTTTAATGAAATATTACGCCTGTCATTTGCTTTTAGTATCTGAAAAAAAAACTTTTTAATATATCTCAATAAACGCCATCAAAAAAAGAGTATAAAACAAAGTCCCGCTGTCTGTACGGTGAGATCTTTTAAACTATAAAAAGGATTTTAATTCGGTTTTCATCAATATACAGACTGATTCAAGAGGAACATTTATAATACAGGACCACGCGGGGGAAGCCGCTGGCGGAAAGCAAGTTTTTGTAAAAAACGCAAATATGTCTTTCAAATACATCCAACACTCCAGATAACTTGTGTTGAAATATTAAGTGATGATTTTATCATCTTTAAATAAAAATAAAATTTAAAGATGTTTAAAAATAAATCAAATATAATAATAATTTTATTATTCAATCACTTGTTCTGACATAGTGTAGTTTTATAAAACTCCTATATAATTAATTCTACTTACATCTCCTATGCAAAAACGCACGTGATCTAAAAATACTTTAGGGTATTTCTTCTTCACATCGCATTTATTACAGACTAATCCGTCTTCACGATTAGAAATCGCCTTCAAATGATCACGCACCATATCTTCGTCTTCCAAATCCTGAAAGGATTATTAAAACTTTACATTTCTTCTACAGTTCGTATACAATTAGCAACCTGACAGTTATAACAATAAATGGAAACAGGCAACTATACAATAATGATTTAGTTTTTTTTTATTATATTTTATCAATTTCGCATTCACAATGCTGTACTGAAAAATATTTTAATGAAAAATGCTAAAAAAAACCCACTTGGTCCCTGGCACCCTGAGATGGGATTACCTAAACATTGATGAGAATACGCTCTATAGTAGCGAAAAAATAACAAGTGCTTAAAAGATTTATGGGTAGTATTTTTTGTAAAAAAAAAAATTGTTAGTAAATTTTATTTTTGCTTTTCATAACATTTAGAAACTCGGGCGTCCATTACGGAGTATATGTGACGTCACGTTTTAAAAAAGTCAACGTGTTTGTTGCGAATGCAACCAATGCTCATGTTTATTGAAATGTGACGTCACGGTTTGAACTGTCATTATTCCGCGGAAACTGTCTGTTCTCAAATTAAATCAAATTTATGAATAAAAATATGTTTTCCCTTCATTTAATAACACTTTACAGAGAAAAATTGATGGTGATTTAATATGATGATATGAAAGTTTAAAATTACTTTTCTCAAAACAGTCAAGTAGCTTATTGCTGTTATATATTCATGTTACGTCACGTATTATTATTATTTTCACGTCTCGATAAGACTCTTTCAGATGATGATTAATTTTAACATGAGGGTATTAATCTAGATACTAGATTTACATTAGTAATTTCCTTCGATTTCTTAACATTTTATGATAATCTCAATTTTATGTGTTACACTTACAAGAGGCGTTTCTTCAATTTTCCACGCTAAATAATTATGTTCCACCCTAATGTGGAAAGACCATCGATCGCCGTCGACTTGCTTTTTACAAACACCACAGGTAACTTTTGTTAGAAACTGTTCAGCAGTTGTCTGCAATACAAATAGGTATTTACAATAAAAAGAACTTTCTCTTCACTAATATGCATTTTTAATGTACAAAACATTTTCCCGAACTCATTGGAATTAACAATTGACAATTGTCAAAATTTTACACACAAACTTAATATTTATATTACGAAACATTTTTTACGGCTACATATTTTAAGACAAGTTATTATTAGTGTAATAAATTATTGCACTGTATCAGACACACAATAATTTATTGTCTTACGAGTATTTTAACTTTATTTATACACACTGACTTTTAAAAACGATTAGTTGATCTATGTATATCCTACATTCCTTACCTTTTTAGTACGACTTGATCGAGTCTTCAAATCTACCGAATCAACTTTACTTGAATCCAAGGTGACATCTGCTGACGTCAAACTACTATTCGCACAATCTGTATCTAATAACGACATCTGTTCATCCTGCGAGCAAAATTAAATTTATTTTCATCAATAACTATAGACCTTACTAATAAGCAATTTTTAAGCTTTAGGTAGTTAGTATTTTGCCTTTTTCACACTAACTGAAAGTCACATTTAAACTACATGAGGTGTGCTAAACAACACCTATACATTTAAAGGCATAATATGGAACTAAGATCTGGTCAGAGTCGCAGGGTGATATGCGTGTTTGTTACAAATGTGGACCTAATTTAAAATAAAAACAACATATAAACTGGAAAATTCGTACAAAATCAATGGCTTACTCACATCCCCACATTCGCCCACGTGGTCTAAAAACCTTTTGGCTTGTTTACGGACGATACCACATTTGTTACAAGTCAAACCACCTATTTCTTTCGATATTAACGTCAAGTGACGTCGCACTTGATCTTCATCGTCCAACTCCTGAAAACATATTGTGTATTATTCAACTGTGGTCTTTACTAAAGGTCATCCTTATATTGATATGTGAAGCAAAAACTTTGAGGAGAGAAGCATGAAGTTAAGGTTTATATGGGGTACAGAATGTCGGCAAAGGAGGTTAAATACTTTTTTTTTTACTTTTTAATGTATTTTTTAACAAATTATTACATTTTTAATGTAATCTTAAGTCAACTTATTATCATAAATCTTTTCATGGCAATTTTACTATTTTATAAATGTCTAAAATTAACAAAAAAAATACAAACACTACCATGCGTTTAACACTTTTGTTTACTAAATATGAATAATAAAGAAATATACTTTGATAATAAAATCTTAATAAAGTTTAAATTTTATGCTCATATTAATAAATCCTTTTTCTCTGTCGTAACCTTTGATGGAAAGAAACTTACTATTACAGGCTCTCCCTCTTTCCAAGTCAAATAGTCATGTCCTCGCGCATGGTCAATCCAACGCTCAAGATCTACAACTTCCTTGCAAACTCCACATTTTGTCGACGTGGATTCGGCTGGATAAATACTCTCATTTGGAAACTAAAATTATATATATATATATAGATTGACAAGTGATATATAGATTGAAAACAAGTATGAAAGCTTATAAAAATAAAAATAGGGTCAAAGAACTGTCTAAATGATCATCCTTTACCTCTCTAGTGGGTTCCTGAATTTCAGTTTGATCAATAGAATCGGATTTAATTGAATCAACTACACTTGCATCCAAAGTAACATCGGCTGATGTAGAACTTGTGTTAGCACAATCTGTATCATTACTATCCAGAATATTCTGTGAACAAAAAAGTGATGTTTAATTTTCCATATTAAAAAAAATAAAATAAAAACACAACTTCTTATTTATAAAGACAAAAATGTTTTATGAATACATCATATCCACATTGTTAAGGAATTATAAAACACTAATTTGTGGATTAAAAAATCCTTATACAAAATTTGAGTCGCCTAGCACTTGTAGTAAAATTCGATCCTACAAACTATCAGCGGATGTTTTGAGTTGATCGTGTGTACTGGAAATTTCGCGAAATCCCATCTTAGTTCCTCTACGTCCTAAAGAAAAACCCCCTCCGATTTCGTGATGAGCGAGTGATTATTCGCTTTTATATATATAGATTTGAATACGTACGATAATGGTATTAAAACTTACAGTATTACAGTTATTCACGTGATGTAAAAACGACTTCGGCTGTTTACGTACTAAACCACATTTCTTGCAACTCAATCCACGTAATCGATCCGACATTATTAACAGATGCTGACGCACTTTTGCCTCGTCTTCCAAGTTCTGAAATATAGTTTTCATTTTAAATTATATTATACCTATTGCACTACAAAATGTCCAAATAATAAATACGTTTCAAAGCATATGCTCGATGATTGCAGAAATATTTATAAAAAAATATATTTAAATATGAACATCATTAAAACTGACATCAAACAATAGGCATGACGACTGCCCAAAACAAAAGAAATTCTATTAAGAGTCTAAATCTGACTGACGGTCTAAATTTTAGACCGTCAGTCAGATAATAGAATAATATTATTTACTTTTTTTTTTGTTTCATATTTAACAATATTCAGTATTTAAACAAGAAACAGCTTAGATAATAAGCCTTAAAGTTGAGAAGTGTGGGGCTCGCTACGTCAGTTTTGTAGAATATGTACAAAAGCGTGACGTCATACGACATTTCAACTCAATGTATCGCCATATTTAATTAATTACGCAAAAAATAAAAATATTCTTCAATAGTCTACCTGACGGACAGATAAAAAAATAATTTTCATCTCTATTAATAGAATAGAATACATTTATTTTAACAACACACATTACCTACACAATATACAACTTAAAAAAATAATAATATAAAATACAATAAAGATATAATAATTTAAAAAAAAAACATGAGAAAAGAATAGAAAAAAAACAATGCAATAGTCTGTGCCATGGTGTGCGTTATCAAAGCTGGCCTCAGCTCAGTACAAGCAATAAGTAGAGCCTACTGCACTGATATTCTGCTGCGGCCAGCAGTGACCCCACGTACAAACCAAACACAAAATAGACAGTTACATAATAGATTTTTGTAAACACATTATTATTTTAACGTATTAGACATTTAAAAACAACAACAAAGAATAAAAAACAAAACAAGTATTATCTATGGAAATCTTAATATTTGGCAGTATGTCTTAGTTCCTTTGCCTACCCTATGGACGAAACCACTACTAAAACTGCCAAACTATATAATCTGTGATGGCGATGGGTACATTTTAAAACTGGAATGTTCACAAACAAACGAAGAAAAAATGGTTGATTATACATTATCATTTTTCAATAATCATTGCTATTGCGTCTATACTCTATAATATAATGTACTATTTAATAGAAAAATAAAACAATGCTATACCTCGTTTAAAAAAAAATATTCTCAAACTTACATGCAAGTGATCAGATTTAAGATGTATATATACGCAATGAGGAAGTATTTAAAAAAAACGAAAGCACTGAAAGAGCACCTCCATTAGATGGCGACTCTAGCAAAAGTTGATTTTTACAGGAAACGAATGGACCAAAGACAGACATTTCCGTTCCTTTTAATTAACATATTAAAAAAAAAATTTGAAAGTTCGAAACTTATATATCAATACAAATATGAAAAAGTACAAATAGAATGAGTTTTTATTGAGTTTTGAAAACTTATTTACTTTTAAACTTGAAAGAAAACCGGAAAGGTTGTCATAGAGAAATCAAGAATGTTCCGTAGCGACATCTAATTTGATTGCAATAACTAATTAACTTTTTTTTATTACTTCCTGTTTCGTTATTTGTAAATTTTAAGCTACTTTTTTTATATTAGATTAGGGCTCCGTAACCGAGTGACTCGCTCGCCGGTTCCAAAGTGTCGCCATCGTTGTAGTCCCGAGTTCAATTCCCGGTCGGGTATAATATTATTTGACAATATAAAAAATTTAGTTTTCCATGTTGATCGGGTCTGGGAGGAGCTCGGTCTACGATATGGTTGTAAAGCAACTTTCGCAATAGCCGGTAATAGAATCGGTGACCAAAAACTTATTAGCTTCATCTGCAATCGTTATATCCACTAATACTAGGCCCTCGGGTCGTGGCCCGTTCTCCCTATTCGATTGTATTCGATTCCATTCATAGGGAAGGCCTGAGCCCCAACAGTGGGTACATTAATAGGCTGGTGATGATCGGCTCAGGATATTGCGATGCCTTTGTTGTTTCAGATTTGCATAATACAAGTGCTTTCGCTACTTATATTGTATTTTGGAATCTGAGCAATGTATGTGATATCTACTACAACACTTGTAAAAAAAAATATTTTCCATAACAGTTAGATTTTTTTTTTTTACCGTTGGTTTGTATCATAAAATATATTGGTGCTTATGAAACCAACTTACCAAAACAGGCTCTCCTTCTTTCCAAGTCAAATAATTGTGTCCTCGGACATGTTCAGGCCAAAGCATAAAATCAACAATTTGTTTACAACGTCCACATTTTATAGATTTATTTTTTTTTGTAACCCCTCCTTTCTGGAATAAAATAAATTAAACATTAAAGGTACATATGAAGGGGAGTTTAGAAATCAAATGACTGTATTTGTTACACGCACCTCGTTGATTTGATCAGGTGATAAATTTCTGGCGCTGACTCTTTTTGACAGCAACAATATACTCTGTTGGTAAAAATTTTGTTTTAAAAATTATATATTATATTTGTGCATAGAGTATTAATAAAACTAATAAATATCAACATTTACACAATTAGAATGATTCAAAAGTAATAAACTTTATTTTGATAAAGATTATTTGGACTTTCAATACTTTTATTTCAATGTACAAAAACTATTAAAGATAGCACCATTATAGTCCATTTCAAGAAACACATTTTAATTGGTATCTTTAATTTATTATTTTCATAAAATGTTAAATCGATCTTTTATAGTATATTTGATAGATAGATTTTTAATGATAATTACCTTCAACTTTTGGCAGTTCTTAATATGTAATATGAATGTGGCAAGATGATTTATTTTAAAACAACAAAAATGACATTCTAATATTTTTTTTTCATTTAACCGTTGATTCAACTCTTCCACAAAATCTTCATTATCGAAATCCTGCAATAGGAAAATGCATAAAATGGGTATACATAAAACCAAAAAACTTAATGAAATGTAATAATTTAACTTACAATATTTTGCCCCTTTATCCAGGCGACACAGTTGTGACACTGGGCAGCGTGATCTTTCCAATGGGCGTCTGCTATCGATTGGTAACATACACCGCATTCCACTTTTTTATTAGACGGCGGTTCATCCATTTTTGATGAGAATTTTGTTTGACAACTCTTCAGCCTCTGTAAAAATTGTTAACAGATGATAAAAAGAGCAGATTTAAAGGATACCAATATCAAGCGAGCAGAGCGATCTAGAAAGCGGGCGAATGCCAACTTATTGAGATAATCATAATTGCAGGGAATAAATACAAGCAGTAAAAAAACAATGTTTCCTTTTTTTTATTTTATTATTAATACGATTCCCGAATATGTATGTATATAACTCAATATAGAAAGAATACAAATTGCCTGTGAACCCTCGATTTAAGAATAAGTTATCATTTGCAACATGCCCCATTTACCTTTCTCTTTGCCTCGGGTTCTCCTAATGCTGCAACATATGCAAGTTTTCTTTTTTCCGAAATTGAAGATTCTTCAGCCTCCACCTGGAATAAATTTAATACTTTTTTACAAAAAATATGTATACAATAATCTTATAATCATCAACTCCAACCGCTTTTCTCTACCACTTTTATTATTACTTACAGTCAGTTTAGGCACAATTTCAGTGTGTGTTTCATCATTCACCTCAGTACAACTTTTATTTCTATTACAGTTTAATACTGGCCTACGAACATTATTATTTTCATTTAGAGATGCATGACTTTGGGTAATGTGGTTAGGCATTGTTTGCGAAGTTTGGTAAACTTGTTCAAAAACACTTGAATTATTTGCTTGTTTATCATTTTTATGATGTAACTCTGGACATTTTGAATAATGTTGAGTGATATTTTTATTTTGTTCTGTTTTGATATTAACATGTATATTTATACTAGTATTTGCTTCAGGAACTGTATGTTTATCTTCAGATATCGGAGAAGAAGACGGCAATAGTGTCGTTTTTGTTTGACCAACTATTTCGTCCAAAAGCATTTCATTTAATTCCTCATCATTTATCAATTGTATTACTGTAAGTGAATCATCCAAGTCCTCGTTATTTAATGTATCTAGTGCGTCTTCTTTAGCGGTTACTTCATTTTTTTCATTTGGAGATGCATAATTTTGGTTATTAAAGTTAGAGTTTATTTGAGTAATTTGGTTAACTTGAACAACAACACTTGAATTGCTTGCTTGTTTATCATTTTTACAATGTGCCTCAGGATATGTTGAAATATGCTGTGTGATATTTTTATTTTCTTCTATTTTTGTAATAACAGGTATATTTATATCATTATTTTCGTCAAATATCACCTCAGTAACAACATTATTAACTTGAGATATTATAGAAGAAGACTGTAAAAGTTTTGTTTCAATCCGATCAATATTATCGTCCAAAGTCATTTCATTGAAATCTTCATCATTTATTAGTTGTATTACTGTAATTGACTCTTCCAAATCTTCGTCATTTAATACATCTGGTACAACTAAATTAGCGGCTACTTCATTTTTATTACTGTTAGAAGGAGTCACTAAATCAGATACTATTTCGACTGAGTCCGTGAACGACTTATCTTTTTTGGTAATTATATCATTGATAATTACATTGTTTCTCGAACAAGAAGAGGAATGTCGTTCTTTTTTATTTTTTGAAAAATCATTACAAAATGAACAAAAATCTAATGGTTCAGAGTCTAACAAAGTCTCTTTAACTTGATTATCTGTTGTATCCTTGCAATGTACATTTTTACCAACAATTTCTTTCGAGATAACTTTCCAGCAAATAGGAGTTATTTCCTTGTCATCCACCTCTTTAATATTTAATAAGTCATATTGAGTGCTACGCTGATGAGCAAATACATCTGTGTTCTCATAATATATATCGAAAATCATCTCAGGATCATTACAAACACTTTTAGTTTCCCAGAAATGGATATGCTCATATGCATCATCATGATCATAAATATTTAACTGACCAAAATCATTGCACAAACAATAGTCTTGAATACTATCATCAAATCCTAAGACTCTAACTTCTTTTAATGTAATGTTACTTTCATTAGTAGACACTATTTCATTTCCCACATTATGCTGAAGTATTTTGGAAACTTTTTTTTCTCTGTGATAAGTCTTCAATCCCATAGTGTTGATTGAAAACGTCACCAAACCACTTCCACCAGGCTTTTCTACACCTTGAACACAATTCTTCAATTGAGTCCGTCCATTTATTGCATGATTTCCTTTTTCTTTTACTAGTACAGATGGTATACAAATATTTTCTATTATTTCTTTCTCTTGTATAATAGTTGTTATATGACTATTGAGATCAATATGAGTTTCATCAGAGTTCTTGTCTTTGGAGGCATTTTTAATATGATGCTCATCAATTTCAGTGTCTACATCCATATGCTGCTCAAAATCATCGTTTTCGTGTATTTCTACATTGTTAATATTATAGGCGTTTACCACAGAATTGGCTACAGGCATATTAAACTCTGATATTGTGTTATTATTAATAGACAGCACAGTTTTATTTTTATCATTTATAGTATCTGTCACTTCATTACAATTATTTAAAACACATGTTTCAGAATGTTCTTTCGGTTCATTGTGATAATTAAGCGACTTATAATCAATATCACCATTAACACTAACAGCACTGCTACATACTTTTTCTATGGTTTCGAAATCGGTAGTATCACTACAATCACTTTTTTCACCAGGCACATTCAATGATGACAACGATTTTTTATGTAATACTTGAATAAAGGCTATGTCTTTACCAGCAAAACCTTCCGTTAAGCATCCATTATTGTTTATTGGTGATATTTCTTTGGAACAATTAGATGCTTTTTGTTGCTGTTCAAGTGTATATGAATTTGGAGGTGACGTTATCTCGTTACTTTGTAATAGTGACAAATTAGTGTCTTTTCTTGTTGAAATTATTGTGTCTATGGTAACAGGAATCAATTTATTTTTATTCAAATGGCTAGTATCGCAATCAAGAATTGTTTTGTAGTCCACAATTTGTTGTGATAAAATTTTTACTTTGTTTTTTGATTCTTCTTGATTTGTCAAAAATGTCGACCCAGTTATTGCTTCACTAGAGCTAGCTCCTGATTCTAAATTCTGGGAAATTAAGAAATTATCTAATGAATCAAGACATTCAATTTCATTAGTCAATAATGTATCATAATGTATGGAGTCCTTGAGTTTCAAATCTTCCAGCGTAATTTTTTCATTATCTTCAATGTCTGCACCTTCATGTTTGTCACATTCAAAATTTTTCGAGGCCAGATTGTCTTCAGATATCTTCGATAATGGGTGTTTAACTTTTTCAATGTCATTCGTTTTCTCTACATCAGTAAATTCATTAGAAAACACAATTGGAGATACTGGATATTCATTCAGTTTTTCCGCAGTGATAACCAGATTAACAGATTCAGTGATTGCAGCTTCTAAACAAGAAAGATCCTGTTTAAAAATTTCTTCTTGTTTTTGTAAAGTTACCATCTTTTTTTGATTTGTCTGAAGTTGTCTCTGAGGAAAGTCTAAAGTGCCATTTTCATTATCATCATCAATATTTTCCTGTATACGAACAAGATCACCCAAATTCTTATTATGTTCAATATTTAACTCGCCATTACTAGTAGGCTGCCCAGATGTGTTTGCTATTTCAACTTCACCAGCAATAACGTCTGACAAAGTAGGAACAAATGTTGGACTTAAGAACACAGACTCTTTCATCAAACTAGCAGTCTTCAAAATTGAGTTGTCTTTTTGAATTATTGAGTTATAGTTCAAATGAAGATTTTCAGTATCATTATCATCTGCTTTATTTTTGTGTTTGGTTTTCGCTGAATTTATATCTGCAACAGGATTAATAATCAAATTAAATAATGATAAATTTAAGTAAAATCTAGGGAAGAGACTAATTGAAACAAGTTATAAAGCTCTGATTATTTATATAATCAAAGTAGCAATTGTTTCCACCATTTTGAGTCACTTCTCTAACTGACGCAAATTGACAATTAACTTATTTTATAAATGATTGTACAAACAGACAAATAGGGACCTAATTCCATAAAGGCATTTTAAAAAGATTATCCTTAAATTTATATATACAAAAGTGCATTATTTTCTAAAGTTATTCAACAAAATACCTGTATAGAAACTATGTAAATTATCTATACCACCTATGAATGATACTCTCTATTACTTCAGATTATTTGATTGCTCAATCAATGAGATAAATTTATTAAAATAACTCCAAAAAAGCATAAGGATGTTGATGACGTTTTAGTGACCAGAGAAGATTAATACTTAAATAGTAAGCATTTGATAATTTTTAGTCCATTCAATCTAAAAATTATCAGATTAAATTTACAAAATTATGTACAAAAATAATTTATTTGTTCCCTAACAAAACACAAACATATACTGAAAAAAAATTACTGTATGGGAGCAATATTTCATATTTATTTTATTCTGTTTTTAGTATTTGTCATTAAAGTGGCAACATTTATAACAAAATCTGTTACAGCCTAGAGACAAACAGGCAGACGAATATACAGGGGAACAGAGTAATAGTCCTGTTTTGACCCTTAGGTACAGAACCCTAAAAATGGTTTTATCATGGTAAAAAGTGCACCAAAATAAAATATAATCTATTAGTGTGATACAAAAAAGCTACTAGTTATAGCAGCACAGGATATATATTCTTATTGTCAAATAAAACATGGATAAATCCAAATTTGATTGAGACTTATAGATTTATACTTGTATAGCAAACTATGCATGAAACGTGAGTTATCTCATTTCAACCTGATAATGAACCCTGTGGACATTTCTGCCAGTGATTTCATACCCTACTTTAAATAAATCAATGTGTAAAATCTGCCTTAACTTAACAACCTTAGCCACTGCCTTAACGTATATTTTATGTGTGCTTTACCAGTGCTTAGTAAGTATGTGCTACCTAGCGCCATCTATATAATTTCAGTATGTGCCATTCCTTGCCTTCATGTCTACCCACACAACTGACGCCATCTAATGCAGAAACAAGGTAACAAAAGTATTTTTTTAGTTAGGAAGGTATAATTTCCTATCAATTTGTCTGTCTGTACTAGTATAGTGCTGCTATAACAATAAATAAAAATAATCTTTATGTTTTTTTTTGATATGAAGCCATTAGTGAACCTTATTATAAATAATATAAGTATACATAACATGAAAACATGCACATTTACAGTTCTTGTACTTATACTGTAACTTTACACTAGATGGCACTTGGAGCCTCATACTATGCATAGGAAGGAAAATTTATCACCATCTATCTAATTTAAAATTGTATTATCAATAACAGAATGGTAACAGGCCTACATGTTAACCTCTAGTGTAGAGACAGGATAACAAAATAGCCAAACAAATTGCCTCAGTTGATACACAAAAACTCTTATATAAAAGTTATTTACTTTTATGTAAGAATATTTGTATATGTACTATTTATACTATACTATTTAATGAAATTGTTACAGCAGTATTATATGTCTTATGTTATAAGTGTTAATTTATGTCTACACTATCGCATTAGGGAAACCTGTAATGATAGTAGTATGTTGCAAATAAATATAAATAAAATATATTGGTCAACAAAAGCTGAGCAAATCAGCGCATCATTTGCGTCAGTTTGAGTGCAACCATAAATCAAAAATATTTAAATTGAAGGCCTGTCAATTATCATATAATTAGTATGACACACACTTATGGTCATCAATATAATATACTTGTCTCCTATGACCTACAAGTATAGTGACTGTGCCCATAGTTCACAGGACTTACTCTCATAAAAACTAACAATATTGTAATTATATGATACAGACAACAACACATCAGATTTTACAATACAAATTTTACTCCAACCTGATTTTGAAATCAAGTAGAGAAATTCAATAGATGTTTGAACACTAGTATAGAAATGCTTTACAGTTTGAATTGTTAAGTTTTTGTATTGAGTTAGCCTGATATGCTGTTATGTGTACTTTTATTATATTCTTTGTGCTGTTAAAAGAAACCATAATCGTAAACTCTCACCTGATTTATTAAACCGAGTTGGGTATTCCTGGGTTGGCTGAATATTACCCAACTGAATACCCAACTTTTCCAGAAGATTTGGTGGTAAAACAAATACTTCAGCTTCATCTTCATTATTATTATGTGTTTTCCTAGCAGTTGCATGTTTGCGCCGTTTTGAAATTTTAGAATTCATTTGAAAAAAAAATTTTGATAATATTTTTCTATAATAAAGATTTAAATACTGTGCTGTAACAAAATATTAACAGAAAAATAAGTTTTTTTTCTTATACACTTAGGTTTAAAGTGAAGAATAATTTCTGATAGGTATTTTAAAACATATGTTATTAACTTAAATAATAGTTGATCTATCCTAATAAATAATTCTTAACTTTAATACAAAAAAAAAGGAATTTATACAATAAAATATAAAATGTGAAAGAACGTGGATTTGAACCACGACTTAATAGATACATTTCAGTCAACCATTTCTCACGTGGTAAATATTACACCACGGCAAAGATCCGCGCATTCTAATAATTCTCTATACCTTTTGATAAAATATGTTAGTTAAATAAAAAAAAAAAGAGTGATCAAAATATTATATTACTTTGTTACTGGGATTTTTACAACATACTTGTTGTTAATGTCCTCGCTGACGCCAATATTCCAACAATACGAATGAAGCACCGACTCTAATATAAAAATCTGTTTAATGAAAATTAAAACAAATTTAAATATGAACAAATCATAACCTATATAAAAATAATTAAGTCCAAAAGGAAAATCAAATTAATCAAATCAAATATAGGTTATTCATATTGCGAACTTTATCAGGCAGGCTGACGCTGATGAAGTTTATGAATTTATTTGACAGATGCGTATTTTTATGGTCAATGCTAACAAGTCTGCATCCACAGACCAAATACGTATGCTCAGTGTTTGGAATAGACTTAGTACTGTACTATATACAGAGCACTCCCAGCCGCGAAAGCGAGCCAAGCGAGATATCAAGTACAGAAGCTATATATCCCTTTCTAATAGGGCGAAAAAATATTTTAATTAAGTGAGACTTTTAATATGAATCGGTTGTTTAACTACCACAGCTATTATCGTACACAACACTCTTGTAAAACTTTTTGTTACAATAAATATAGCTATTTTTTTATTTCATTATTTATTTAATATACTTATAGACTTTTCGTGCAAATCGATGTCGGAGAGTGATATCGCTCTAATTACGCGCCCTTATAATCTGTATGCAGAATCGCAAATGTTTGTTTACTCATGGGATCAACAATAAAAAAATAAAATAAATAAATCATTAAGTCACTTATTGTCATTCATTGCAAAAATTTTGTTGGTGTCGTAAATATTTCGTTATTTTATGAGAAAATGTCGAAATAGCCTCTTAAATCTCAAGCGAGGAATATTGTTTTCAATATCTAGAGTAAAAAATCTATATTATTTTATAGGAAATAAAATATCATATTCATAATATAAGACTTTTCATTAACGGATAGATGTCAGATGTCACACTTATATAAAAGGAAATAAAGAAGATGTCAATATAAAAGAGTTATTATAACAGCGAGGAGGAAGGTGAAAATCAAACACAATCTCCGATTTTAAAGCGCATCGTAGCTTTGACCGGTAAGTTGAACTGAGTAGTATTGATACATTTTATATTTCGAATAAAAATTTGTTTGGGGGCCAAAGAAGGGTACAGATTTTTCACAAAAGGAAAATAAATGTTTCATTAAATGATTATTATTATTATAAACTGTGCGAATTTTAATCGTATGTACATCGATGATTGTGAGATCCCCCAAGTAAATGACTTAAATCCCGGAGTCCGCAAAAAAAGATGTATGGTGTTACCAATTTTGAAACGCATGCTTTACTTTTTATTTACTTTTGTCATTTCTGAAATAAAAAGAAATTTGGGAAGTTATCTATTAACTTTTGCTTACTCACGTTGGGGGGCCCCCCTCGCCCGGGGGCCCATATAATTGATACGGCAGATACGGCAGTAGCTACGCCCCTGTAACGGACACTAAATGATAATGTATTAAATAGATTTTAATGCATTTTTTGGTGTTTCCAGTACCACTGTACGACGAATCATATGTGAAGGCTCATAAGCTCCAATCTTAGCTTATATATTTAATGAATGTACTGATTGTGGTATTTTTCCTGAGCTCATGAAATATAGTAAAATTATTCCTTTACATAAATCGGGTAGCACATCTGACCCTACTAACTTTAGACCTATATCCGTGCTACCTACGTTTAGTAAGATTTTTGAAAAAATCATGCTGGATCAAATACAAACGTACTTTTACAAGAATAAGCTTATGAATCGACAACAATTTGGTTTTACAAGGGGTCGCTCGACAACCGAAGCCGGTGTCGAATTAATACAAGAAATTTTTAATGCCTGGGAGGATTCACATGATGCGTTAGGTGTTTTCTGTGACCTATCTAAGGCATTTGATTGTGTTTTTCATGAAACATTGATTAGGAAACTGCATTTTTATGGATTTAGAGATAACTCATTGGATTTTATTGTCTCATACTTGACTGACAGAGTACAGAGGGTTGATATCAATGGCAAAAGATCCCCTGGATCGAAAATTAAGATGGGCGTTCCGCAGGGCTCAATACTTGGTCCTTTCTTGTTTTTGATTTACATAAATGACTTGCCTTATTTCGTAAGGGATAATCACGAAATAGTTTTGTTTGCGGATGACACTTCACTCTTATTTAAAATTAAAAGAGGGTTACCTCTAAATGACGATGTGAACAATTCTATCGCTAAAGTAGTACATTGGTTTAATGTAAACAATCTTCTCCTTAATGAAGGAAAAACAAAATGCTTAAAATTTGTACTACCTAATGTTAAAAAAGTAGATATAAATGTTAATGTAAAAGATAAGAACATGGGCCTTGTGGATACCACAGTATTTTTAGGAATAACATTAGATTCTAAACTACAGTGGGGACATATTGATAGATTGTCGAGTAGACTTAGCTCTGCAGCATATGCCGTAATGAAGATACGTAGGTTAACTGACATAGATACTGCCAGATTAGTATACTTCAGTTACTTTCATAGTGTTATGTCATACGGTATCCTATTGTGGGGAAATGCTGCCGACATACAAACAATTTTTGTGCTTCAGAAAAGAGCAATTCGATCAATTTATAATCTTAGGATTAGGGACTCTTTAAGGGAGAAATTTAAGGAAATAGACATTATGACTGTTGCTTCTCAATACATATACGAGAACTTAATGTACGTTCGTAAAAATATTAGTTTGTTTTCTATTAAAAGTGATGTACACAATTTTAATACAAGAAATAAAAATAAATTAACGGTGCCTGTCACTAGACTGCAAAAAGTTAATAACTCTTTCAAGGGTCTTTGTGTGCGCTTCTACAATAAGGTCCCAAGCAAAATACAACAATTAGATATCATGCAGTTTAAATCTACTATTAAAAAAATACTTATTAAAAAAGCTTATTATAAGGTATCCGATTATGTAACAGATAAGAACGCTTGGACTTGAGATGATCCAGCAACTGGATAGGTGATTACTTCTAAACTCATTATCTTGTTTCCATTATTATTAAATGATTATGTTATTATTATAAGACCATAGTTTTTTTTATCTCTGTTTATAATGTATTGATCTGGTAATGACATGGTTTTTGTAAATGTCATTACTCATATTAGAGCTGGTGAGTTTCTTTCTCGTTCTTCTTATCAGCCAAAAGACGTCCTGAACGAGTGGTAGGGAAAAAATGTTGGACGATTCAAAAGTACTTTTAAGAAGTCTATTTGAATAAAGATTATTTTTACTTTGACTTTGAAGGCAAATCAAATGAAAGTGTATTTTCTTCGCCCGGTTAAAAGAGAAGAGGGTGAAAGAAAAGAATTAATTTAGATAGTTTTGATTTAGATTTGATTAGGAACAAAGTTAAAGAATTCTTTACAGTACCAAAAGAAATTCCAACAGTAATGAAAATTTTACAAATTCTTCGTAATGATATTAACTTCCAAGAAGGGAAATAAACATTAAGGTGAGGAACAATATCTGTAAAATACAAACTATGTATAATAATTAATGTATTGTCTGAATAATATACGTATAATATATACATAAATATCGTCATCAGCCTATTGTAGACCACTACTGGACGTAAGCCTCCCCAGGGCACGCCCATTTGGGTGGTTTTGCCCGTAGTCACCACGTTGGACCGCAGTGAATGATATACTGGGAGCAACAAAATGACCGACACAGCCGAAAGTTTCAAGTTAGGTTATATGGAAACATTCATTTTATTTGACAAATATTTCAAAATAGAGGAGGTGTAAAAATGGAGTAAAAATTCTAAAATTCTAAGTGTTGAGAGCCCTATAACGCGCATGCGCAATATCGATTGTGTGCAGCTACGGCAGATACGCAGATAATAACGGACCGCGAAATACATTAATTTAATTTAATTATTTACCGATATCTTAATGATAGTCGATGCTGAAAATGTCCAATTCTTCTCTGAAGACAGCTGAGCACGCTCTTTTGCATGCCAGTGCTTGCACGCGCAAAACATCACATTTCACACAAAACTAAACATAATCTTCACTAAACTTAGCACTCAAGACGAACACTGTAGTATCTTATTAACAAAAATTTAATTATAAATGCACTATAAGAAAACAAAAATCGATAGAAAGTCGCTTTGCAGCGGTACGGTGGCAGCGATGCAGTAACGTGCCTCTCGCGCAAATGTCCGGCGGTGACTGAAACAAAGGCGCCGATGCCGACGGAACAAAAAAGTCGCTAGGCGAGATCTGTGATGTGATTGGCTGGCGCGCACGGCGAATGAATGGAGCCCGGTTCGCTTCGCCTTTGATAGCCAGGGACGAATCCAGTTTATCTATTTTTCGAATTCGTATATTGTTACCACGCAATTGTTTTGAATTTTCTTTTTAAATACATTTTAAATAAGTAACCAAACCCTTACTTAGTGTTTTAACACACAAATGTATTTTATGTTAATGGATGATGTATTAGTTTAACTACTATAATAAATGATCGTGTTATTTGATCCATTTAGTCACAATTTTTTGGAAACTCTGACTATTTGAAATAATGTAGTAACATAATGTAAATTAGTTAACATTAGAATAATCTTTTTACAATGATTTATTAAATGTTAGTCTATTAATTAATTTCAGCATTTTGACTGATTCGTTTATTGATAGTCAGTTCAAAATTGTTAAAAAAACAGTTAACTAACATTACTTAGTTTTTGTTTGTGATTTTAGTTTTTTGATGATCAGTTGATAGCAGTTTGATAAAACTAGGACTATTTGACTTGTGAAATTAAAAAAACTTAGATTACTATCTACTGCAAGGGCGCAAGCCTTCGTCATAGATGGTGGTAACCCAGATAGCAATTAAAACTTGTTTCTGACTTGCAACAAGTTTGATACATCAAAAAAAGACTTGCTTCAAGGTTGCCATGACAACTGCAGCAACTTGCAGCAAGTTTAAATCAAACTTTCTAGTTTCAGTGTGACAAGATAGTGCAAGTGTACCTAGGAAAATTATTATTACTACTACCGTAGTAGTTTTTATTAATCTTTTGATCATGCCAACTTGGGGCAAGTTTTTCTTTGATACTAAATTGCTGCGTCAAATATGACGAGGCAAATTTGTGACAGTGTCGCTGCAATATTGTTATGTTAAATATGATGTTTCCAGTTTGCGACAATATTGTTTGAATATTATTATGACAAAGATACTTATTTGTAACACATCCATCATACCCATCATAGGTGCCCCAATAGTTCTAAGTCTGCAAACTAGATGGCGCTGTTCATTTAATGCATCGCGGTCTCAGTCTATATTGTTAGATTGTATAAGTAATATGCGTTTAATATGGTCTTAATATGGGATTCGAATATTGCAGCGACATTCTCAAAAACTTACCTCGTATATTTGACGTAGTAATTTAGAATCAAAGAAAAATCAAACTTGCCTCAAGTTAGCGTGCTATCCGGGTAACAACATACAAAATTCAGAGTTTATAAAATACTAAAATATGAAGTAGCCTAAGCGAAACACTAGATTCTAGCGAAATCCACAAGAGCAATGCCATTTATTTGTGGCGACTGATACATAGCGACATCTAACTCATCGCACTAACATCGCCACAACAATCGATAGCGAGAAGACTAGCATCGTCGCAGCAATCGATAAGCGAGACGAACTGTAAGAAGTTCAACACCCAGTAACGAGATAGCGCTGTACTAATACAAACATTATAAATTACTAGTAACATACTACAAAGCATTTAGAACAAGGAAACCTACATCGCCCACAATAAATTTCCTTACTAATTAGCAAAAATAGAACATCAATAGGGTATTTGACACTATCGAAAATAAGTTGCATTTTGTGGTCATCCTGATAGATAATAATCTAATAAAGCTTTTTTCCTAACATCTGCAGAAAAGACATGTTTAGATTTAGTAAAATAACGTAAAGAAAATGCAATATTTTTAGGAATTTATTCAACAACGAAAACGTCCTATAATTGGTCGTCGTCACAACCAATCACGATTCTGTTTACTGGCCTGTGACGTCTTCAGCTGTCATGTCAAAGTAGTGTTACATAAAATATCGATTAGAAAGATACATAAAATATCGATGCCTGTAGGTATCGACTACTTTTTAATCTTTTACTAAGCTTTTTAAAAAATCCAAGAAATAGGGAAAACGCCATCAATTAACAACTTACATGTTTTTATTTTATTTAACTTTACTATAATAATTCAAAATCACAAAGTCGATTTTGATGATATATAGTGTACTCCAAGTTAAAAACTAATTAAAAAAATCATCGGTATCTGATATCTTATTATCAAATGCCATGCATTTAGTGGACAGACATACTACATGTATGTATAAAAAAAATTGAATATTCCTTTTCGTACTAATGTCTCATCCATCTGTAGGTCGACAGGCTGTAAACAGCGAGCCCTGTCAACAAATATAAAAGAGTCGTAAAATGTTAATGATAAAGAAAAAACCAAAAAGAAAACCTTCAAATATATCGATATAAAATAAAAAAAGTTTCAATACTTTTAGCGAATCCTTACCTATTTTTATCAACCATCTCTACTCTATATAGCTACTATACTATTGTGATTGTGAATCTAATTTTTTCTAGACTCGAAGTTTGTTTGCTACTTATAGAAGTATTAGTACATTGTGGCACTACGCACCACTTGTAGCTCACTTTTTAAAAAAAACTTCAATTTCTCTAGGGATGATCGATATTCATCGATGTTGAATAAACATCGATGTTTTAAATTGGATAACATCGGCACATCGATGTTTTCGTGCCAAACAACGATGTTTATGAATAAAATGTCAAGATACCCTTTTGGCCATCTAACGTGCTCCAGATGTACTAGCTAGATGATCTCGTATATCAAGTTCAACTATTTTATGCTAGATGTCACCGGTTGCACTCGTAACTGGAGTACGCAAACAAATAGTTTTTTCTTTGCTTGCATTTTCCTAGGAAATTAGAAATAAATCTGTCAACTTCAGCGCTCGTTAGTATCTTATAAGTTATATATTCACCGGTCTTACTTTCAAAGATCCGTACATTAGATAGTTCCACTTGCGTGTGCGGAATCGAATAAGGTACCACTGATCCCCCATCCTCTTCAACTGTCTGAAACAACCTACTTCATATGATGAACTTCCATCTAAAACCCCCCGTCCCATTAACCTTAATACTATCTTGTCTATTTCTAACATCCCTATCTTTTTGCGTCTTGTAAGCATATTAAAAAATATAACAGTCCACTATAATCTACATGGCACTATCATATATTTATTGCGATATTTTTTATTTAATATATTAGTACAATTTGTGACGTTTGCTTTGTGTTGTACTCTTAGAACAAGGGAGGAAGAAAACTATTAAAAACCGTTTCTTACTATCCCGCAAAATTTCTGTGTAAAATCGAAAAAGGTCATTTATGTATATAAAAAAAAAGTTACTTTATGCTCGTTTTGCTCGTTCTCTCTCCGTGAAACTCCCTCGTGATTTTTTATGACACTTGTCTTATTCCATTACTTTTATGTTAAGGGGTAGAATCCACCTATCCCACATTAAAAAAGATTGCATTAAAATATTTACTTCCACGGCTTCAGAGAGGCTTTTTTCTAAAGCTGGGCAATTCCTTTAACAGCAACGCAATCGATGTTTGGAACATCGATGGTTTTCATCGAATGTTGACTTCGATGTCAATATCGATATTTTTCCAATATCGATCATCCCTAATTTACTCTAAAAGCAGTTATGGATTTGACATATTTACTGGCCTGTGACGTCACGATCGCGCCATTACATAGAGAAGCGTTTTTCGCGCTCTTTTGGCTATTTAAATTTTAACAATTATTATCACCAAAAATAGAAAAGATTCCAATGAAATATTATGACAGTGTGTTTATATTGTAGCAAACAACGATTTAAAATAGTTTTCAGAAAAGTGTCAAATACCCTATTATCCTTTAGTCTCCCTTGCCAGTTGTCTCCATTTTCCAGTAGGAACTACACCTTCACCTTAAGGTTCTTACAAATTAAAAAGAAGAAGTGAATGTGAAAGAAATAGAGATTATGACTCTTAGCTTGCCCAGAAAACATTGTACCGATTTATGACTATATTGACTCTACTCTTTAAAAAATGTATGACCTTCCCAGATATATAAAATAATACCCTGGACAAGACAAAGAAATTTAAATATAAAGATCTGGCTATCAGCTTTTTTAAAAGAAATAAACAAGACGACGGAATAAAAAAAAAAAGATATGAAGAAAATATTAGGTTTTGCCTTATAAAATAATATAATAAAGAATATATCCCAAGATTTGGCTGTATGGCTTAGTTCCCTTGGAAATTACTACTACTATTACTATAGTCTTTGAATATAGGTAACGCAAGATTTGTTTGGCTGTATGGCTTGGTTCCTATGGACAAAACTAGAGTGTATACCTCTCTGTCTACTCTACGGTGTATACTTATTTATGAATGATTTTTTAAGATAAAGTCTGTGGATAGCTTTTGTAGCTTAAAAAAGGCTTAGATCAAAGAGTAGCATTATATTAACGTATTATGTGTATGGATGGATTAATGATTTAGCTGGATGACGCTAAACAACATAGTACTAACAGGGTAAACAAGCTATTCTGAAAACATTTGGTCTGAGCTGAAAACTAATTCTCATTAGGTCCAATCATCTGCTAACTAAAAACTTGATTTATATGATTTAGAAAATCCAAAACATTGATAAAGCCGTATTCTGGTATTTCGTATTCTTTCACAGTGTTTAAATTTACGAAAGAAATGGGTTCAAAATCCCAAGCTTTATTGTTCCATATACAAGCAGAATGTAAAACAACGAGATCTCGCGCTGGTCTCATAAAACTACCACACTATTCTGTTAAAACTCCTGTTTTTATGCCTGTTGGAACACAGGTAAGTATTAGATGATTGGAATACCTACATACTTTAATCCAAATATTACTTTTTCAATTGAATAATTTTAGGGCACTATGAAAGGATTATTACCAGAACAGTTGGAAGAATTGGGATGTGAAATAATTTTGGGCAACACATATCACCTGGGTAATCGACCTGGAACTGAAGTGTTAGAAAAAATTGGTGGTCTTCATAAGTTTATGTCCTGGAATAGAGCACTTTTAACAGATTCAGGAGGATTTCAAATGGTGTCATTGCTTAAATTGGCTGAAATAACAGAGGAAGGTGTTAAATTTAGGTCACCTTATGATGATACAGAAATAATGTTAACACCAGAGAAGTCCATTGAAATTCAAAACTGTATAGGTAAATTATTATTGGTAGCAATTTTGTTGCACAAACTAGACTAAAATTTGATAAAACAAAACTGCAGTTTCAATTGTGATAGGAACTAAGATACAGTAAACTTATTATTGAATACTATATACAGGAATTTTGTTATATTTCATTACAAAAAACTATGGTATAACATTAAAGAAATCCAAACAAAGTAAGAATTCTTAAGCTTAGTTATGAGAATGTTATAACAGAATTACAGAAGAACAGAATTTGCCCAATTATTTATCATACAAAAAAATATATGGTACCATCCCCTAACAAGGCCCACCATTTTCAACTGCTGGAATGACAAGAACCATATATCTCAATAAACACATTCCCATGCTAATAGATCCATAAGGACAGAATAATTTAATCTGATACTGTATCAGATGGTTTTTAGCACTTAGCAGTCAAAAAACAATGGGTCTTACTAGGCAACAGTAATTTATGTTATAACTATCCGAGTTGCTTCTTGTCAGCAATGAGTACTTTGTAATAATAATTGCCACTTGTCATTTCTAGGTGCAGATATCATAATGCAACTTGATGATGTTGTACAGACTACTTTTCAAGATTATGATCGCATTAAAGAAGCTACAGAGCGAACTAGCAGATGGTTAGACCGTTGTTTGAAGGCCCATAAGAGACCATCTGAACAAAGTATATTTCCAATTGTTCAAGGTTTATTAAACAAAGAGTTAAGAGAGAAAAGTGCTAGAGACCACATGACTAAGAATGTTAATGGATTTGCAATTGGGGGACTAAGGTAAAATAGGGACAAAAATAATCATTCTTCTAATTACAAAAAATAATAGCTTAAAATATTAACAACTAAAACAAATATCAATTAATAAGAAATTAAAGAATCACCATTTTTCTCTAAGGATAATTAATATTAGTGTCATTTTTTCAACATTTAATTATATCCCTATTTTAAATCAGCAAAATTTCCAGAGTTTCTCAATATCGGAAACATATTTTACTTGAATAAATACAAGCATTGAAATATTCAATACTTGTAAAGTAATAATGTTGAATGTTATTTTTAGTGGAGGTGAATCAAAGGATCAGTTTTGGCCCATGGTCAGTTTAAGTACAGGTATTTTAGACAAACATAGACCAAGATATCTCATGGGAGTAGGCTTAGCTATAGACCTAGTTGTATGTGTTGCTCTTGGTGTGGATATGTTTGATTGCGTATTTCCAACACGTACGGCAGTAAGTGTTTCACTATTTACATATAAATTTATTATTAAAACATATGACAGAATGTTTTAATATACTTTTCAGAGGTTTGGGTGTGCTCTTACTAATAAAGGACAACTAAATTTGAAACAAAAAAAATATGAAACAGACTTGAACCCTATTGACAATGAGTGCACATGTTCTACCTGCAAAAACTACACAAGGGCTTACTTACATTGCATTGTCACTGTAGAAACTGTGGCTTGTCATCTTATATCTGTCCACAACATAGCCTATCAGGTAATCTATTATTTCAATATATAGATTTGACACATACCATTGAAATGTATGAATTGGCAATCAGCATATTTATCACTTATTGAAAATATCTCTCTTATTTCTTATATTGTAATGGAATGTGACTTCATATTCAAATGAAGTCACTTTTCAATAAGACTTCTCTGTGTGAAATAAAACAGGGAGAAAAAAGCAGCTCTTGATGCTTAAATAACCGCCAAGAAACTCATTTCATTCTGGTTCTTCTCAGTAGAAGGTCTCCCGCCATACTTTGCGAATTGATGGTGTAGTTTTCGACTTTTACAAGGGTTCTGTTAAAGCCTAAACTGAATAAATAATTTTGTTTTTTTTTATGGGCTCTATATTACACAGTTTATGCTGTATAATAACATAATCATTATATCTGTGATCAAAACAAAATTCTATTTTGTTACCTCTTTTATTACAAAGCTTAAAAAATTCAGTTGTTTTAACTAATAATTTCATTCATTGTTTCAGATGCGCTTGATGAAGACTATGAGAGAAAATATAGAAAAAGGAACATTTCCACAATTTGTAAAAACATTTGTCAATGAACTATATAGTGATGGTAATGTTCCATCTTGGGTTTTAGAGTCATTAAATTCTGTTGGAATTAATATAAGATGATTAACTTTTTCATCCTATACACACTTTGTAATTGATACAATAGACAATACATAAATTGAATGCTTATTATTAAAATGATATTAAAAGGTATTTACTCAATTTATTTTATTTTCACATAAAGTCATCAGAATCATTTCCATCATAATTAGTTGTCATATTTTCAGGTTTCATTAATGTTGAATAACTTTTGAGCTCAGCCTCTTCCTTCTTCTTTTTCTCCTCTTCTTTTTCCTTTTCCTTTTTTTCCCTTAATAATTTCTTTTTATCTTCTCTTTCAGACCTATCTCTGTTTTCTCTTTCTAGCCTTAAGTCAGGGAATGCTTCTTTTTTGGTTCTATTGAGTCTATTAACAATTTCGTTGCTTTTTTTGGCAACTCTAACTTTTCTGACATCTTTGTCTTTATGAAATGCTACTTGTCCAGCCTAAAAATATTTTTTTTACACATAATATCATGAATTACACAAGTAAAACCAAACAGAATTAAAAAACAAAACAGAATACTTACCTCCATAGATGGTGTCTTTTTAAGATTTGTCCACATGGTGTAAACTATGTCAATATCATTCATTTTATTTCCCAATATTGAATTTGCTTTAACCAGCTGGCAAGCATCATCAAGGACAGAATTAGGGATGTCATCAATGGTTTGACCCTGTAATATCATAAGTTAACAATTTAATCAATTAAATCAATTTTTATATGAACTGCTTTTCATTTCCTTTCAACATTGAACAAAATGTAGAAAGATGCCTGTAAAGGACATTATTCAAATGTACCTATATCTAAAAGTCCCAGCCAAAATAATAACTATATTGATAGAACATATTGGTGCTGCTGTAAGACCAATATTGACTTTTTAATTACAAAAATAATAAGTGAAAAAGAAAATAAATGAATTTTGGCTAATTTTGATTTGTAGCCCTTCTGTTTTAAGCATCAATATTATTCTAAAAAAATATTATGTGATCTAAGCTGAACATAATGCAGGCCAGAGAAAGTTAAGTAATTTTTTTGATAAAATAATGCACGACTTTTGACATGTATGGCAAATGCTTTGGCCCTTTTGAGTTACTGCAACACAATTGTCTCACTAATTTCTTTCATCTTTTTCTTTAATTTTCTAAGTTTCTTATTTTGTAATTGAATGTATATGTTGATGCAAATTTATAAACAGTTACTATATCTATTTATTTTACTTCACAACAATACAATACAATACTTGACATATTTTAAGAAATTAAATTGTATACACATTTTAAGTAAATGATGTAGACATGTATTATAGTTAATAGAATATGTAACCTTTTTCAAAAGGAAATTCATCCTTGTTTATTTTCTTTGGCATTAACCTGGCAGAACTTAATGTATTATATAAAACTACCAAAATAGATGAAAAAATTACAGGTGTTAGACGTAAATACACATGTGCAGAGGATACTTTGTCCACATGGAACCAGACATCTTCTGGCCAACCCCATTTGATCAAATCTTCATCTGTAAAAAGAAATATCAACCTGTCAAATAAAATCCACAAGTTAATGAAAGAAAATTTAATTATCCTTTTATATATATTCCAATCTTTGTTACTTATGGTGTGGTAGTTTGGTATGATAAAAGCAGCCTACATCCTGGATACATGGGTGTAGGCTACTTTTATCAAAATATAAATGATACGGCCGCTCGTAATCTATGCCGATAAAGTCACGGGTAAAAGCTCATTTCATACATGAAAATGTATTGCTTGTATGTACTTACTTTCATGTTTATCAGCACCCATGAATAATGTCACCGGGGGTGACACAACGGCACTTGTGAAATAGAAGACCATAATATGGATTAACTTATTTGATTTAAGTCACAAGTAATAATATGGTATGAACTTATTTTATCAAATGATTTCCGTATTCTATTTTCTGTTTATATTAGGTATAAATTTTCCACAAGCTAAATTATCTTAAACAATTTTTTTGACACTGACTAAAGTGTCAGTTTCATGTGAGATGAGATTATATATTATTTTAATTAAGACAAAAGGGTTTTAACCCACATAGAGCCTAGTTGTTTGTAATAATTCTTTTGTGTGATGTTTCATTATCATAGAGATAAGGTAGTGGAAATATTTTCTATGATTATGTATGGTTATATCATGCAATCTGAAGTTGACATCGAAAACATCATGTTGTCTTTTTTTAACTAATAAGAATATTCTTTAGTAAACAAAGATCGCATTAGTGTGATAGTTCAAATTTTTTTACGTGACGTCATGGCATATAGCTATCGTACCACCTGTCCGCCATTTGCAAAATTACAGTGCGTATTCTCGGAAGTAGTTCAGCTGTCAGTGTTATAAGTTTAGTCGTTATTTTCAGTTATAACTTTTTATTTATATAACTTTCATGCCGGAAAATTGAAAATTATTCATGCAAAACAATGCGTAGATGCAGTGTAATTGGTTGTGAGTCATCGATATCCCCCAAACCGAGCAATATTACGTTTCACAGGTAAGTTAAACACTTTCTTGGAAAAACAATATTAAAAAACGTAAGTAAGTTATTCTAAAAATGTTTGCGTGTATAAATCGATACATATCGTATTTTGGCGTGTTCTATTTATGTTATATTGCTCTTTTCGCTTATATTTTTATAATATATCGGTCCCTAAATAATGTTGTTTACATGGCTAGTGTTGTTACTTAAACATGTGATTTATATCGATAATTTTATTATTTAAGAATATATTCATCATTTTAGATTATCAAAAGATGAAACAAAAGAGGATAATGGCTGAGTTCCATTGGAGCAGAAAATATATTGAATATAATGAAAAAGTTACTTTTATCTGCTCACTTCATTTTAGGGAAAATTCTTTGAATCGAACTTTAAATATAATAAAATTACGAGATGATGCATTGCCAATTACATATACGCTGGTAAGAATTTTTGAAAATTGCTTTTAACTTAATTTTACAATTTTTTTGTTTTTTACACTTAGTTAATTTTCATTTGATTTTGCTTAGTTTTTTATATAGTCGTTTTGTTATTCTATAAATGTACCTTATTTTTAGTCTTGCGGTCATATGATGACTATTTTAATTGAAAAAAATCAGAATGCAATATATAATAATATTAAAATATAAAATTCTGATCGCAATATACTCCTAGTAAAATATACAATAAAATGAGTTAAATAATTTTAATTAAGTACCTAGTTGTAATAATATTTTGTTTTCAGCCAACTTCACATAGCCAAGCAAAACCATCATCTTCTCATGGTTCATTGCTAAAATAACGTGTTTCCAAAGTGGTAAATGCTTTATGAAATTAATTTTTCGGTAGAGTCAAGTACATGTCGCAGTCAATTGGCTAAAATAGCCATATTTGGAAGTTGTCCCGATTATGAATATTTATTACATTCCACATTTCATTGGGTTTCTGTATTAATACTAATATTATAAGAATAATGTTTCGGTGTAACAGTGTTTCCTTTTCAGCAAACTTCACATGGATTTTTTAAGCATTTCCCATTAAGAATATTTTCCAGTACAGCATGCATTGTGAAAGCAAAATATATTACAACTACTTATCGCCGAATGACAATACTCGCATTGGCATGAGTAGCTAGTTATGTACCCGCTTCAGCGCCACTCAGTATCAACTAACTCTGCTGACTTTTAATTAAAAATGCAACTCAATGAGGAAGTATTTTAATAAAACATTAGTTCCCGAAATCAAACTAGACGCCGCCACGGTACGTTCTTGATTTTTCCATGACAACCTTTCCGGTTTTCTTTCAAGTTTAAAAGTAAATCAATTTTCAAAACACAATCAACAACTCATATTCTATTTGTAGTTTCTCGTCTTTGAATTGATATCTAAGTTTCGAACTATTCAAATTTCAGTTTTTTAATATGTTAGTTAAAAGGAATGGAAATGACTGTCTTTGGTCCATTGATAGTGATAGTGACTATGGAACTTTTGAATCTGTGATGGAAGATGCACTTAGGAAATTACAGACAAAAAACAAATATTTGGTTGTATGTGGTGATTTTAATGTAGATCTTCTAGTGAGTTCAACATCCGTTCGTTTGCTATCATTATTTAAATGCTTCAATATTTTTAATCAATTTCTTGAGCCTACTAGAGTAACGGCACATTCAGCCACTTGTTTGGATAATGTATATTCTGATTATGATCCGATTAATAAAATTGCATTCAACAATCTTACATCTGACCATTACGGACTAAAGACCACATATAGGATTAATATCACTAATGAGCCAAAAATTATTAAGTGTAGACCAATTACTATAATACGCCTAGATAATTTTAAAAATAACATAGATGAGAAATTAATTGAGATGGTATATTGAGATGGCCAAAGGATGGTCCTAATGGTCTTTATAGTAATCTATTCTGCCTTATAAAAAATGAATTCGAAAAGGCTGTTCCGTGTAAGACCGTAAAAGTTAGACAGAAGTACAGTTCTGTGACTGGGCTACAACAGGTATTTATAAAAGTAGAAACAAACTTTATGAATAATACGCTTTAAGAAAATATAACCATAATCAAAATTTCATTGATTACGTGAAGAATTATTCGAAAGTATTTGAAAGGGTGTGTTTTGCGTAAAAGTCAAATTTTATTAAAGAGAAAATAAAGAATTCCAATAATAAAATCAAAACAACTTGGAATATAATAAACCGTGAAACCGGTAAGGAGCAAATACGTGAAGATATTCTGACACTTAACTTTAATAACACGACCATCAAATCTCATGATAAAATTGCTAATATATTTGATGAGTATTTTTTAAACATACCAATTGAAACAACATCTGGTTTAAATTCTTCACCAACTGCCGCAAAGTCTATTTTAGAAAAATACGTGCCTAAGGAAGACAGCCAGTTTAAATTTAAATATATTAGTTTCTTAGATATTATTAAAACTTTTAATTGTCTGAAAATAAAAAACACATGTGATTTATGGGGCATATCTCTTAATATTATTAAAAGTATAGTTCATGTTATGGCTGATATATTTAATTTTTTTATAGATAAAGGAATTTTCCCAAAGCATAGTTATACCTCTTTTTAAATCCGAAAATAGGGAATACCATAGTAATTATAGACCTATATCAATATTACCGACGTTAAGTAAAATCTTTGAAAAAATAATTCTTGAACAGTTATTCTCTTATTTTAATTTAAATAAATTACTGCATACTAAACAATATGGTTTCACAAAAGGTTGCTCTACTGTTGATGTTGGTGTAGCACTTCTTTAATATATATTCAGAGCTTGGGAGGCGTCACAGAATGCTCTTGGAGTATTTTGTGACTTATCCAAGGCATTTGATTGCGTTGAGCATCGAACACTAGTAACGAAGCTAAATTACTATGGTATCAAAGAATCCGCCTTACAACTAATATTGTCGTACCTCAGTTGCAGAACTGAAACTATCTATATTAACGGTGGGAGTTCCCCAGGGATCTATTCTGGGTCCCTTTCTGTTTCTAACTTACATAAATGATTTGCCATTTTTTGCCGAAACTTTATGCGATGTTTGCGGATGATACTTCTTCAATATTTAATATTGATCAATGTAAAAATAATTTTCACGATGTAAACAATGCTCTCTCACAGATTATGACCTGGTTTACTGTAAATAATCTCCATTTAAATGCTAAATAAACGAAATGTATAAAGTGTATGTTACCTAATATAAAAGCTGAACTTACAGAAATTAAATTTAATGATGAAAAGCTCGAGGTGGTTAATTCAACAATCTTCTTAGGTGTAACGCTGGATTCTAAATTACAATGGCATCCTCACATTTCATTATTGGCAGGCAAACTAAGTTCAGCTGCCTTTGCAATAAAAAAAATTAGGAAACTTACAGATATAGATACCGCTAGGACAGTATACTTAAGTTATCTCCATAGCGTTATGTCATATGGCATTCTGATGTGGGGTATGGCTGCAAATATAGAGTCTATATTTATTTTACAAAAAAGAGCAGTAAGGGCCTTTTATCAATTGGATTCAAGAACATCACTTAGAGATAAATTCAAAGAAATTGGGATATTAACAGTGGCCTCCCAATTCATATACAATTGTATACTTTATGTTAGAAACAATATTAAGGATTATATTAAACAGTCATGTTTTGTCGTCATGCAGGCTAAAGAAGGTTCTATCATCATTTATGGGTCAAGGTGTACACTACTATAACAAAATTCCTATGGAAATTTTAAATTTACCATTACCTAAGTTTAAAACCCATATTAAGAATTGTCTACTCAGTCAGTAAAGGATATTATACTGTTAAGGAATATTTAAACGACAAAACTGCTTGGAGTTAAATATGGCTCATTTTTCATATATATTAAATTGTTAATCGGTGAGCTTCTTTGGCTACACATGTGATTGGATTGACGAAAATACTGTTTTCCTCTTATATTGTGTAATATTGTAATGGAAAGTGACTTCAAATTTTAATGAAGTCATTTTTCAATCTTGACGCTCTGTATGAAATAAAACAGGGAGACAAAAGCAGCTCTTGCCGAGATTCTTGCCGGTTCTTCTCGGTACAAGTCTCCCGCCGTAAATTTACGAACCGATGGCGTAGCTCTCGACTTTCACAAGTGCTTGTAACAGCCTAGACTGAATAAATAATTTTGATTTGATTTGATTTTATTTGAACGAAAGTCACCGACATAGCCCAAAGAATTGCGAACCTCAAGTGGCAGTGGGCAGGGCACATCGCTCGCAGGACTGACGGCCATTGGGGCGGTAAGGTCCTGGAGTGGCGACTACGTACTGGGAGACGCAGCTTTGGCAGGCCCCCCACAAGGTAGACCAACGATCTGGTGAAGGTCGCGGGAAGCCGCTGGATGCGGGAGGCGCAGTACCGATCACAATGGAGATTTTTTGGGGAGGCCTATGCTCAGCAGTGGGCGCTCTCGGCTGAAATGATGACGATTAAGAA